AACAAAGCATGCAAAAGTAAAAGGCGGCTTCCGCCTAATAATGAGGTTTAGAATTTAATTCCAGTGTTGAAGCATTGTTGGGAATGAATAAAATGCACTCCAAACTCTTCAAGCCAAGTGTATTAAATTAAGCGAGAAGTTATTTTAGAAATTTTTATGATGCATATAGAAAGGTAATATTTTGATGGATTGAATTATAAGCGATGTTAAATTTTAACAAACTCAACAACCTTGCAGAGAATGTCAAATGTAACTCTTGCTAAATTTCTGCTTATACGGTAATCAACATATTAAACGCCCAACGAAGTCGGGCGACATATTGCGATTATACGCATGTTTTTTGTTCCTCGGGCTGTTTCTCGGAGATGGCAGGGACAATATTCCTGAAACTTTCCTCAAAGGAGTATCACTAGTTGTAGTTGTGTTGTGTGGTCATTCAGTTTCAAAATGGCTACCGTCGCCATGAAAACCTGCAAAAAGCGACAAATGTTGTCCGAGAGTGTTCTCTCTGGTCCATTGGACATTCGTCATGAACATGAAGAAACTTTATTGATTTAATGATTAGTATCTGTAATTGTACGTGCTTCATTTAAAAATTGCAAATTTTATATCAATTGTTGCCAGGGAAACTGGAGAAAAGTGAAAATGCTTTAACCTTGATTTTTAAATCAAAGTACCAAAAGGACTGATACGAGTTGATGGTTGTCCAAGCTTAGCTAATGGATATTGTTTAAGTAATGAAAAAATTAAAGTCTTGTCTAGTTCGGGGCGACACACGCTCTATTGCTTGCAATAGCAGACTTTCTAGTTACTTTTACATTTTATTGGCTATGATTCATCAAGAACGTTGTCAAAAGAGCAAAAAAAAAAAACAAAACAAAAACAAAACAAGAAAATCTTAAATAATTTGAAGGAATTGAAATAAAGATTGTCGTTTTTTATAGTTTGTTAGAAAACTTAAAAACTATGAACCTTTATTATTAATATTCATATTAATTGATATCTAGTATCTAAGATTTCATGTCTCAGGAAAATCTTAACGGGAAAAATCAAATGGAATGTGATGACAAAAAATGAAAATCATGTTTCAAAGTCTATTAAAACAATCAAAGGTGGGATCAGGTGCTTATGCAGATTCCATTTGCTAGCAAGGTTATTAAATTGACCATAGATCTTGCAAAGTTATTACATTAAACCAGACTTGTTTGTCAGTAGATTGCCTTGAACTTAAAATGTGTCCATACGTAGACTATGCTCTTGCGTATATATAATTAATTAACAAGTAATAGCTTTTCAAAAAAGCTTGCCTGACTAATGCAATCAATATCTATTGAACCTATTATCATGATAAGTTATTTATATTAACGTTTACATTGGGGTGAGGGGTAATTATTTCATAAGAGTAAATTATGATGACGTCGAACAAAACATCATTCATTAATTTAAAGTTGTTTGCTACTCATGAAAGCAATGGACAGCCTCGTTTTTGAAAGTTGGGGGAGCAGCTAGAGAATTAACATTTCCAATATATAGTAAAAGTAAGGTTGGGAAAATAGTGGGGGGACAGCCCCCCCCCCCCCCCCCTCTGTTGCTACGTGTCTGATGGAAAAGGAACAGTGAGATTTTATTTAAAAGGTATATATTTTGTATGTTTTAAAAATTGGTTTTGGACTGTTTTTCGTTTGTTGTATAAGGACGCCTGTGGAGTACTTGGAACTCAAGACCAATGAGCAGTTTCATGTAATCTTTTTTCTTGCTTACACATACTGCGACTTTTAAACGGTCTCATCCTAATGACCGATCTCCACGTCCTGCAGTGGATTCGAACCCGCGACGTAAAGCTCAACTCCTCATTCCGCAACACTATAAATGGTTTTAGAAGATGTAGATAAGGGAAATGAACTAATGAATTAATGTATGCTGGAAAGCCGTGTCTATGTATTAATTTTAAAATTAAAATTTAGAATTAGATTCAACTGCATAGACTACCAGGAAGACAGCTGAGAATATGATAGCTACAAGAAATAAATGAATCGTTATGATCAACATGAAGAATATGTTTAAGTACTAGATTGTTGGGTTAGCTGCAGATCTGTAGCTCTCTGAAAAAAATATTATTATATTGATAGACCGGAGAGCTACAGTGCCACCCATTGAAAAAACTGTATATTTATTGCGCACAAAAAAGTGCGCTCGATTCTTGATAAATTTTTCCAAATTCTTACCTCAATTGCAAAAAATGGAAGATTTCAAAAAATTGCTCTCTCCTCTATCAAGTTCTTTCGTAGATGACATCTGAACGAAGCATATTGGACCGAATTATCTTTGAAACCAAAATGGCAGTATAAATAAGCGAGAGATAAGGAGGACTATTAACAACAATTTTGAGGAATGTTTTGTTGTGGAAAGAGTCAAAGAATATGTTAGGAACACACGGTTAGTAATATTTTGAAATTACGTCTCTAAAAACATGGAGAAATAAATCGAGAACCGAGCGCATTTTTTATGCGCAAAAAAATGTACAGTTTTTTCAATGGGTGGCTCTGTAGCTCTCCGGTCTATCAATATTTTTTCGGAGAGCTACAGATCTGCAGCTAATTGTTGGGTATGCCAGATCATCAACGATTGTTGGAAACAGCCCGTTACGCATAATTGACTCAACGAACTTGACGGCGGTTCCTTATATTCCTCAGTCCTGGAGTAGGAGGGACACTTTTCCTTTAGGAAATCTATTTTCTGTGTTCTATAGGAGGAAGAATTTTATCTCTGAAAACTGGGGGGTGGGGGGTGGGGTGGGGGGGGGGGGGGGGGGGGGGGGGGTCCCGATAAAAAGAACAGACTTGAGGTTTTCATTTCCATTCAGTGCAGTAGAATCATCCAGGAAAAGGGCGCGAAGATATACACGTGGCATTTGATGCACGATGATTGTGACACCCCTTACCTAGAAGACAAATGGACTCATCCAATAGTACAGAAACGCAGAAAAAAGGTCAAACGGACATGTCCGTATATATGAAATCGCATGAAATAAACAGCTGCATGCAACAAAACTAAAGGAAATAAACACATCAATATATTGTATCAGTAAGATGGTTATTTTTTTCTGCTAAATGTTTTGTTGAAACGGAGGTAACAAATTCCAGTGATAATCAGCATGCACAAAATTTTGCTGGCTAACTGTGACCTCTTCTCCTCGCACCTCAGAAATATCAATCCTTATACAGCCTGACGCCGTGACGTCAGGCAATTAATTATGAGAGTCTTAAACCCCGTGCAGTTTATAAGGGTATATTGCTTCATACTCGTACCCTTAAGTAAGGGAAATTGACGATATAAATATAAAAGTAATCACTTTTTATCCTAAAGATGTGTCGGTTACCACTGAACTCTTTTTCTGATAAAACATCCAAATGTGGGAAAAGATGTCTCAGATTCTTTGAAATGTTTATTCCGAGTTCAGAGAGATATCGATACATTGAAATAAAATAAGAATTTTAATGAACATTATTATTTAATAATGCTTTGATGTATCTAAATTTCGAGAGAAAGCCACTGCAATGTTTTCTACTTCTCATTTATAGGTTTCTGAATGCATTCTGCTCCAAGTGTGAAGTCTGATAATAATGGAGCGCAGTTGGTACCTATGAAAATTTCTGGACCATCATATTGTTGGAAGACGATCTCCAAAATTTACATAGATAAAGGCAATCAGAAACTCAATCATCTTTTTAATAACCGGTATTATCTGAGGAGAACTTTTGTGGACAGTCAGAATGTTCTTAAATAACAAACTATTGTAATTGATTAATGAAAATTTTTATTTAGACGCAAATTCAAAGAATTGTGCCCCCCACCCCCCCCCCCCGCTTTCGGTGTCTTTGTGGGTCAGATGTCATTTTTATGACATATTGTGTTAAGAAATAAAATATCATTTTTAGAGTTTCATTGGGGTATGACATGAAGTCGGTCACGTGATCAAATTCTATTACACCCGAAGGGCGTTATAGTAGATTTGATCACGTACCGACTTATGGCATACCCAATGAAACTCTAAAATTGATATTTTATTTCTTATACTTGTATTTGACGTTTTTTGTCGTGTTACAAAGAAATATAGCATTATTTAGACTTCGCTTTGGAAATGCAAGATCTTCGCCGTCATGTGACGTCACAATCGGAATTTTTCAAATGGATCGTGCGGTTCGTTTTTTATAATCAAGAAAGTCTGATCATGGGACCAACTGCATGTCATTGAATATTGAATTTAATTTTTTAGCATTGTTATATAAGGAAAGACATCAGCAAATGTAAATATTCAAATATGAAACCCTATCATATGACATTCTTCAGAAAATATCATCAAAGTTGATTTTTTTTAAAAATAAGGTCAATCGTAAAGGTAATGGTCAATGGGTCAGAAATCAAAGCATGCTCGGAAATATCTTGTCATAGATAATGCACATGTCAAATATGAAAGCCATATTTCTTCTCTATTTATTTCTATATTTCAAGGAATGTGAAATATGAAAGTTATAGCTCTACTAAATCAAAAGTTATGGACAAGGTTAAAGTTTTTGTGCCGGACGCACAGACTTACGGACAGACAAATGAGATTCAATGTCCACTCGCTCTCGCGAAAGCGGAGGACAAAAAAGCTGTCTGTGGTGACAAGAAGCCAGGACTTTTAATTTTTAATTGGGAAGGCTTAAATAGAGTGTTGGAAAGTTTCACTTTTCTATGATTTTTATTAAGGTAAAATTATGTGATTTTAAATTTTTGAAAATAACCTTGGGGGTTTGAAGTAATCAAATATGTTTTATCCCACTTGAAGAATATTTTATTCAACAGTTCCTCATGTGTTTTTCCTTAACTGCGACCAATTTTTAGTACATGTAGTTATAAATCAAAGGGCTTGGGGGAACTTTTATCAGAACTCCCTATATACATGTTTACAGAACAAAACTTAATTTTGCAAGTTATTTTGATATTATTTAAATACATTAAGATGTATTATAGAGATTTTATTATTATTTTACATAGTGCATGCTGCACGTTTCGGTTTTAAGTTTTAGTACATATATCTGGTTACAAGTCTCCCCTTACTGATAAATGCAATAAAAATAATGCTCACACCTGTTACATGTACGATCACCCGTGCATTTGTCAACAATAACTATTGTTGTGAAAAAAATCACGACACTTAGTTACAAAAAAAGACAAACGCAAGGAAGATCATCCCTAGATTTTTTTAACAATATCATAATGGTGATTTGCTCTTTGCTATCGGTCTTGTTTTTGGCTTTCATCTGTGATATCCAAAACACGATGGGTCACCGTCTTCCGCGTAATTTAAAGAATGTGGCGTATGGTAAATTCGCAAGACAGAGCTCAACTTATCACCATATACCAGCGTCTTATGCCGTCAATGGTGTCTTCACGGACTTCACCCATACGAAACTAGAAAAAAATCCATGGATAAGAATCGATCTGGGAAGGAACTACACAGTTCATGAAGTAGAAGTATTTAACAGGAGAGATTGTTGCCGTAGGTTTACTAAGCTTTCATTTACACTTGTCGATAGCCAATGTTTTTACTTTTTAAAATTAAACAGCATTTTGGGGCTTGTCCAATAATTATTTGAAATATTTTATTTAACTTTTATGTAATTAGTGTTTGTTACAACGACATGTTATTGTATATATTTCCATTTCTAATTTTTTTTCTCTGTGATAACTCTTTGAAAGCTAGCGGAGTTGATTTCTTCATAACTCTACCAGAATGTAAACTAGGCAGGTTGATAGATCAGGAGCTAAGGAGGCCTAATATGCATGCAAATCTCATGCGCATCTGTCTCTGTGTCTGACGCTAAGGAGGCCAAATATGCTTGTAAATCTCGTGCGGATGCCAATGTGTTTGACGTCAGTGGGCGAGGACTATTAAAATAGGCATGGGAGTCCTCGTGTAAATTAAATCTATCTCTACATTTTTAAAGTCTAAATTTACAATTTTATTTCACAATGAAATGGAAATATAAATAATCACTGTCTAGATAGTAAAGTATGCCAAGGACATCATGGGAAACATGGGATAATTTGTATAACGGGCTTCAACATGGGATATGTTATTCATAACGGGCTTCGCAAATCTAATGTTTCCCACTATCGTCGATGTCCTGGCATACTATACTAACTAGACAGTGATTCCTTAAATAGAACATTTTACATCATACAATTGTCAAATGTTACAGTTCTTATTGTAAATATATTAAATTAAATCCACGGATATACTATATCATGCAATAGCCTTCAAATGCAAATTCTGATCAATATTAGAATCAAATAATTATTTATTATAAAATCTCATCTTCCTCTATCTCTTTAGCTTTGATAACATCAAACATTTATTTGCTATATCAATATTTTTTCTTCAGCTGAACGGCTTCATGACGTAGATATACGTGTAGGCAATGATCTACACGCCATGCATCTATGTGGCCACTTTACAGGACCCTCTACCAGAGGTGGGGAGCGGATCGCAGTGTTTTGTCCGTACAACACATTCGGTCGTTATGTTGAGATACAGATTGTGGAGGGGTGGAACAACTACCTCTCCGTGGCGGAGGTTATTGTCTGGGGACGTTTGTAATTGTTTGTCTGAAAAAGGAATAAATGTCAAAGGAATTTATATTCAGTTGATTTTCTTTTATTGTTAAAAGATTATACATAGTACTTCGCATATCTAGTCCTAATTTGAAATGATTACCCTATTACTTAGTGGCCCTGGTAACAGGCTCGTAGAAAGCAAGGTCAGTTCGGAGGAGAACATTCAAATGTTTTCAGGGCGCGAAGGGGGGGGGGTGGGGGGTGGACTACCAATCAAAAATACCTCTATAAGCGAAAAAAGGTCATCGGTAGTTATCGAAGGGACACGTGCATGTATGAAGTAGCTACAAGTATGTTTTCTACAGTAAACTTTACATCGTTAAAATTAATGGGTTGTTTGGTGTTGGTGGTGGTAGTAGTGATGGTGGTGGGGGGGGGGTGTCAATGTTCATTATATATGTCGATTTGAATTGCTCTTTCTATTAAGGAAAATGAACTGAAAAGAGGAATAAAAAAAAATTTCAACCAAAAATTCATTATACTTATCATATTTATATACATGTATATACATAAACTTATTAAAATCCAATGTCAGCAGAAATACTTGCTTAAGGGTGAGTTATCTCAAGAAGTATCCAACCTCACCTTGTACATGTAGTACGCGTCCTATTATCACCTGTGGAGTATCCGTTGAAATACCTGTACCTATGGTGATTGATATGTTAACTGAGGTGCATGTTTATCCATCGGCCTCCTGTGATGTCATAGGATATTGCAAAAACTGTAATAAATTTAATATCATTCACAATAGAACATTATTTTTTGCAGAGTGTTTTCAATGGTTTATAAAAAAAGATATTGTTAAGTAAAGAAATTTTTATTGTATATCTTTTATTATGTATTTTATTTTCAATCTGTAAGAAAAAAATGATACGGACAATAACTCCTTCTTGGGTATCTTCATTGAAGACATTTTCTTTACTGTATACTTAATATACATCATGTAAAAGAATTTCCCTGACTTAGAATTCAAAAGTATCCTATAAATAGCCAGTATTTTAATTGGCACTTTAAGCATCGGAATTATGCATTTAAACAATTAAGCTCTTTACTTACATAATTTACTTACATAATTTACACTTTTATCTTCGGTCCCGTGGTTTGCGAAAATGAATAGACCAGTGCATTCTATTCACATATTCACAGAGCCTATTAAGAATTCAATCTGTATAATGGTATACATAAATAGAGCACAGAAACTTTTCTTTACCTGCAGTACATCCGGTTATTTTTTTTTTCACTTACAGCATCTAAAGGATCTCACACCGAGTTTTTTGCTTAATGCCCTAATGTATATAAAATAGGTCAAACATTTTTTTTGCTCAGAAATCTGATTGAATGGGACAAAAATCAATACAAATAGATCATCGGCATTGATGATTTTAGGGCATTAGGAAATTAATAATATAATATGTGACAATTTCATCATCGGATTTTTCGAGGGAAAAAAGCGTTGAATTCGTTTTCTCCCTCCATATTAATCAAAATCTGAAAATATTTTTTTCTGATAAAATTAACAAACGAATCTCAAACAGTGTATTTTTTTCATGTAACCCTTCTTTACAAAGTTTACTCCAGTCGACGTGTCAATATAAATGGTAGCTGCAGATCTGTAGCTCTCCGAAAAAAATATATCTTTTTTTTTTTTGATAGACCGGACTATCAATATATTTTTTTTTTTCGGAGAGTTACAGAAATGGACACTACGAACGTTTCAAGTAACATATGTAAACTTTGCTATGTTATTAGAAAACATTCTGGCTGGCTGCTCATTTTACAAGAATCATGGTTTGATCTTTATCAAAACAAATACGCCAAGATGGATTACAAAAAGTAGTGAACACGAAAAAAAAAATTGCAGAATGACCGAATAAAATTGATCATAATTCCATCGATCATCGCAAAAATAAAACGGGGTTTGCTTTTATTAGTTCTCCTTCTCAAAACAGAGATTTTCAGATAACGTTCAATCAGTGAACAGTGAATTCCTTTCCTGTGTTCATGAATGCATACCTGAACAAACTATAACCATTCGCCCTCGTGACAAACCATGGATGGATTCAATGTTACGTAAAACAATAAGGAAAAGAAACCGTCTTCATAGGAAAGCTAATAAATCTAAAAAAATCCGATAAGGCTGCTTATAGAAAAGTTCGTAATTCAGTCAACATAAGGAGAGGAATTCACTAAGTTATTTAGAACTTGTTTCCAATCCTTTTGATTGATATCAATAAACTACGTTCAAAACAAATCAGTGAACAGACCGAAGGAAGACAACTCTAACTAAAAATAGCTGATTGCGCCATTTCACGGTTGACCTGATGTGACCTTATTTACCTCCCTGAGAAACTGAGCAAGGCCCGGTGAGAAGAAGCAATTTGTAGGTAAAATCATGGATGTCGACTCCACAAAACGCCGTGTGGTTCTGGCAATGGACGGGAGTGAATATGCAGACTATGCTTTTAATTGTAAGTATGTCATAATGTTAGTCAATTTAGGGCAAGGCGCGGGATATATCGACTTGTTTACGATCAAACTACGCCATGCAGAAGGGTGTATATGGATAATGCAGTGTATTGTGTATTGTCTGTTTACACACGCGGATTTATAAATAAATTTTCAATATGTTAATGTTTAAAGTTTTCTTTGTTTATATTTAAATTAGGCACACTATCAACGTATGTAACTTTTTTATTACTTATACATTTTAAGTGGACCCCTTAGTCGCCTCGGGTCATCCGTACACAAATATTAGGCTATGTCACCGTGGTCAGCACACTGACATGACCGTTGGTCTGTGATAATTTATGAGATACGGAGGAATGCTGCTCTCGATATAAATGGACATGCAAAAACAAGGACACTTCTAAATATTCTCTCTACTCGGGATTAGGTTTCAAATGAAAATTCAATACGTTTAATTGTGTATCATATGTGGCCTACAGATCTAGGCATATTCAATTTATGAAATTATGTCACCGTTTCTTTTAGTCATGAAATAAGAGAATTTAATTTAATTACTTAGTTTTAATTTCATATTTGTTTTCACCTTTTCTCAGCCATATTTAATTATTTTAATAACTAAAATTTATGAATATACTGTTGAGTGCACTATATATAGCATTATGTCTTCCTATTTTTAAAGTAGACCTACTTAATACAGTTACTGTACAATATTTTTTTCATTTCACGGAGACTCAAGGTACATGTACTTCAACTTGATAAGGCTATCCATTATCGTCCTATTCAATATTGAGAAGCGATAAATTAAAATTTAAGATGAAATAATCAAATAATGTCTTATCTTTATTTCTTGGTATAGAGTCTGAAGTGCAACAACATGTCCCCTGCAAGCTGGTGTGTTAGTTTACTACTAGACGATAAGATATTTAGATTAATGTATGTGACTAATCCTAATTCGTGCACTTGTTGCCTGTAGCATATGAACACAAAATATAATGAACAGCACAAAAGGTCGTATGCCAGAGGAACGAAAAATGCTACAAGAAGGACAGTTAGGCTTCATGTGGGCTCCCTGGCTAATTCCTTTATCTCCTTTGTCTTGTTTTAGGGTACATGTAGGGCCGAATTTAAGCACCCGACACACCCAACACCCACCCACCCAATTTTAGTTGTACAGTTTTTTTCTCTGATCCAATTTTTTTTTATTTCATGGGTGTTTATGGAACATTTGATTGTTTAAGTTTAAAATCAAAACAATGCAATGATTAACTCTTAACCGCCTGTGATTTTCAGGTCAGATTAGATCGGGTTACATAAATCACAACAGAACAGAACAAGCTAAAGGATATGATGTCAGGTGCTATTCCGTTTTATATTTTCTTGTTAGTATTAATGTGTATTTTGTTCTCCCCTTTATGTTCACACGCGCTACTAAAATCATAATCAGCATTATTTATATTAGTGGAACATGTTAAAAAAACGATTGTATATTAATCGATTTTTTTTTCATCCTTACGTGTAAAATTGACTTAAGAGAGAGAAACAGATGGTCCTAATAAGGCTAAAAAGGGCCATAAAACTCAAATTGACCATTTTTTAAAAGGAATATATAGTGCAAAAGTGAGACTGAGATCAAAAGTGAGCTCGTCTAAGTTTTATGGCCCCAGGCCTGATATACAAATCGCATGTAGCATTAACAAGCGGTAGGGATATGATAGAAAATACTTTCCGTTCATGAACAGGGGGTTTGACCGAGATAATGAAAATATTTGAATAATATTAAACCGAAAGGTCATAAAACTATCGTTAGTTTATAGGATTACCATATTTCATCGGAAAACTCTCATCGTGGATTAGACCTCAGTGTATATGTATATCAAATGGACTATTACAGTTATGAGCTAAATCTTCTGATATATAGATACCCTAAATTATATATATTGTTTTTATCTCGGCCATTCAAACAATGTAAATCGTAACATTTGCAGTATTAATGTGTGTGTACTGTGTATGTACATGGTGTATATTTTGTACACTTTGTGCTACATTATATTTCTGTCTATATTAGGAGTACAATAAGCTAGGTCCTTTGTCCACAGACTAAGGCGTCGGAATTTACTGAAACTCAGGTTGCAGGTACCCGTGTACATTTAAACTTTTTAGGGTAACCGTTGACTACATAATGAGAAATGAAGGTCAGGTGAATAATTCCGTGTGCATATTTTTGCACAAAAGATATACTGTATATAGCCATTAACTGTAAAGTAAAGGATATATTCCATAAAGATCTCTCGATCGATCGATCGAGTTCGACGAAAAGGATTTCAAAGCGATTATCATTAAATAAAAATACATACTGTACAATCTAACGTTAATGATATAAATGCAGGAGAACTACCTCGGTCACGAAATGTTTTTAATAAATATAAAATTCTTTGCTAAAGCCTCAAATTTCATATACTAGTATTATTATTTATTTATTTTTATTGTTTTTTTTTTTTTTGGGGGGGGGGGGCCAAAAATAATTTGGATGATATTGACGAAAAAGAAAAACTTTGAATAGATTATTAGATGGCATCGTGTTTATTTGAAATATCCGAGTACTTATGCATATAAAAATAGTGTAAAATCCATCTAATTTTGAGACGTGTTTATATGGCAGACGTGTGACCCATGATGTCCTTTTGTCGTCTGCTTTCGTTCTTCGCCAAATAACACCGAATAATGCATTTGAGTTTCAGCAATTTTAATTGTTAATGAGTGCGATAAGTACTTCTGTAAGTTTACAGACATAATCCTACATACAATTTGCAAATTAAAAGATTCTTTCTATAATTCACCAACAACTGCCTACTTTAATTGTCAGGGTTTCAAGAAATGTCTGTTACAAATGCATATAAAAGAGAGTAAACATTCATATCGTACTTTGCATATTAGACCCTCGCAACGGAAATTGAGGAAATGATGTAACGCAGTCGTGTGTGCGTTTGTTAGCTTATCCTGTGCGAAACAGAAGTGTCGCAATTTTTAGGTCGAACGTCCCCGTGTTCCATAGCTATGTTCTTTGCAAGGTGATACTTCGCTTTGCGTTGCCCTTGGTGAAATAACAAACATATAACTTACTGATTTTAATTATTCATGATATTAAATATTTAAATTATTTACAGGGTATGTCGAGAACTTTAAGATGGACGGAGACTTTTTAACGATTGTCCACAGCTTCGAAGCCAAAAGTATTGCGCATGCAGGTAATACCATACATATATGCGGGATAGATTGTGTGTTAGCAGGCTTGTTTGTAGACTAATGAAACAGGCACGTAGCATCGTTTTTGAAAGTGATGGGGGGGGGGGGCAGCCAGAATTTTTTTTTACCAACATGTAAACCTTTACAAGCCAAAAAAAAAAACAAAACAAACAAACAAAGAAAATCGCCGGAACTCGAAAATCCTATTTCGGGGGGGGGGGGGGGGGGGGGGTAGCCAACTTTTTCAATGCCAACTTTCTTCCACTTCCATTTTTCCTTGCATACAATGCTACATTTCCTTCATACATGTATTAATTTACTTTAGTAAGAAGTGGGGGGAGGGGCAACCAACCTTTCAATCAATTTTTTCAATAGTCAACATTACCGCTACAATGGCTACATTGCCAAAAATTTCAACTCATTACCGCTACATTTTTTCAGATTTTCGACCGATCATTACCGCTACATTTTTCCGGCAAAAAACAACTCATTACCGCTACATATTGAATCAGTCAAAAACAACTCATTTCCGCTACATATCAGTTTAGACAGGTATGTTCGATATATGAGTTCTATAATGAACAGTATTTGGACAGTGGTTGAAAGTTTTCTTCTATTTGGGTTTTTTGGATCCTCGAGAAGTTGAAGAGTGCTTTGTGTTTGATGTGTTTCCGAGGCACATTGAGCGGTCATCGTCATTTCCACCAACAATTTGGGCAGACGCAGATGTTGAGTGTAAAAGTTTTCACAAAGAGTTCGGCACAATTATTGTTAAATATAGTTCACAACCGAGCATTTTTGATTTTTTGGCCAATATTCAACTTTTCCTTGAAAAAAGTTACATGAAAATACGTGCTGTAAGAAACAGGATTCTCCCAGAATTTTATCTATGAACAGTGCTTGATTTTAAATTTCTGTTTTTAATGAAATAAAATTGATTTTAATTAAAAAAAATAATAAACCCATCCTATCCAAAGTCCTACTTTCACCTACCCTTAGTGATCAGGGGAAACGGGTCTTATGCATGTATAGGTTGTACTGTACACGCATAAGTGGCTGGCTAACGAAAGAGACAATGTAGCGGTAATGTATACTTTTTTATGTAGCGGTAATGTAAGGTTTTTTGTAGCGGTAATGACTATGTAGCGGTAATGAAAATTTTGAAAATGTAGCGGTAATGATACGCACCCGTAAAGGTAATGTTGGGGAAAAAAGTGCTGCCCCCCCCCCCCCATCCCTCCTGTTGCTACGTGCCTGTGAAATACGATGTAAACGTTACATGTATGAAACTTTTCCACGAAAACCTTTTATTTTCTAAAATTGAAGAAACTTACTGATAGATGTTCACTTAAAAACAGAGACATTAATATAATTTTTCATTACTTTGTCAGTAAAAGACCAGTTTGCATTTTTCACGGTAAAAAATAAATTTCGTTTTTAATATCAAAATGCGAACGCTTTTTATTTCAACTAAGCAGTACACTTCAGAGCTAGCTAGATATACAGCTCTCAATGACATAATTAAAGATGCATACAGCCATACTTTGAGTTCTTGAATCAATATAACGCGGAAAAAAAAGTTTCAAATGAGTCACTTAACGAAATTCTTATAGAATAAATCAGGATACACGTGTCTCATTATAAAATGATAAGAGGCTTATTACTGAAAAGAAAGAGAGATGTATCATAACGGAGTCATAATGGCCATTAGAAGCTCATATTTTCCATTAGAAAAATCCCTTTTAATGTCTGTGCTTCCTCTTATCACCACTTCTGTGCGTGAAAATAATACTTAGCAGTTTGAAAAACTCCTTCTCTGTTTTCATACGGCTTATCGTAAAATGAAAGAAGAAATAACTCTCTATCCATTATGATAATCTAAGAAAACAAATGGAGTGATTGTACAAGATATTCTTTGATATTCTAACAATGATTCTTCGTTTACAGTACAAAGTTTTGATTTTCTATTGACGGCTTTAGGATGCGATGTTAAGGCTGTCGGTATAAAGTTTTCTTTTTCTATTGACAGCTTTAAGGTCCGATGTTAAGGCAGTCGGTATAAAGTTTTGTTAGCTCACTTGAGCCGAAGGTTCAAGTGAGCTTTTTGATCACATTTTGTCCGTCGTCCGTCCGTCTGTCTGTCCGTCCGTCAGTCCGTCCGTCTGTAAACTTTTCACATTTTCGACTTCTTCTCAAGAACCACTGGGCCAATTTTGACCAAACTTGGTACAAAGCATCCTTGGATAAATGGGAATTTAAATTCTTAAAATGAAGGGACATATCCCCTCGCAAGGGGAGATAATCAAGAAAAGACAAAAATAGGGTTGGGTCATTAAAAAATCTTCTTCTCAAGAACCACTGGGCCAGAAATGCTGAAACTTATGTGGCAGCATCCTGATATAGTGTAGATTCTAAATTGTTCAAATCATGACCCCCTGGGGAAGGGCGGGGCCACAATGGGGAATCAAAGTTTTACATAGAAATATGTATGAAAAATCTTTGAAAATCTTCTTCTCAAGAACCACTGGGCCAGAAAAGCTGAAACTTATGTGGAAGCATCCTGGTATAGTGTAGATTCTAAATTGTTCAAATCATGACCCCCGGGGGAAGGGCGGGGCCACAGTGGGGAATCAAAGTTTTACATAGAAATATATAGGAAAAATCTTTGAAAATCTTCTTCTCAAGAACCACTGGGCCAGAAATGCTGAAACTTATGTGGAAGCATTTTGGTATAGTGTAGATTCAAAATTGTAAAAATCATGACCCCCGGGGGAAGGGCGGGGCCACAATTGGGAATCAAAATTTTACATAGAAATATGTAGGAAAAATCTTTGAAAATCTTCTTCTCAAGAACCACTGGGCCAGAAAAGCTGAAACTTATGTGGAAGCATCCTGGTATAGTGTAGATTCTAAATTGTTCAAATCGTGACCCCCGGGGGAAGGGCGGGGCCACAATGGGGAATCAAAGTTTTATATAGAAATATATAGGAAAAATCTTTGAAAATCTTCTTCTCAAGAACCACTGGGCCAGAAAAGCTGAAACTTATGTGGAAGCATTCTGGGGTAGTGTACACGATGTAGATTCTAAATTGTAAAAATCATGACCCCTGGAGGAAGGGCGGGGCCACAATAGGGAATTAAAGTTTTACATAGAAAAATATAGGAAAAATCTTTAAAATCTTGCTCTCAAGAACCAATGGGCCAGGAAAGATGAAACTTATGTTAAAATGGAAGGATCATGGGGTAGTGTAGATTTCAAAATGTCTAAATTAAGATCAGCGGGGTAGGGTGGGGATGCATTATGTATTACAAGGGGGAAATCTGGTAAAGAACAGAATGGTCAAAGCTTCTCAGGTGAGCGATGTGGCCCATGGGCCTCTTATTTTTCTATTGACAGCTTTAGGGTCTGATGTTAAGGCTGTCGGTATAAAGTTTTGTTTTTCTATTGACAGCTTTAAGGTCCAATGTTAAGGCTGTCGGTATAAAGTTTTGTTTTTCTATTGACAGCTTTAGAGTCCAATGTTAAGGCTGTCGGTATAAAGTTTTGTTTGTCTATTGACAGCTTTAAGGTCCAATGTTAAGGCTGTCGGTATAAAGTTTTGTTTTTCTATTGACAGCTTTAGGGTCTGATGTTTTAAGGCTGTGGGTATAAAGTTGTTTTTTTCTATTGACAGCTATAAGGTCCGATGTTAAGGCTGTCGGTATAAAGTTTTGTTTTTCTATTGACAGCTTTAAGGTCCAATGTTAAGGCTGTCGGTATAAAGTTTTGTGTTTCTATAGACCGCTTTAAGGTCCGATGTTAAGGCTGTCGGTATAAAGTTTTGTTTTTCTATTGACAGCTTTAAGGTCCGATGTTAAGGCTGTCGGTATAAAGTTTTGTTTTTCTATTGACAGCTTCAAGGTCTGATGATAAGGCTGTCGGTATTATATAAATGGTGCCTGTTTTGGAGGGTAACAGTTGAAATTGACACCCCAAGGAAAACCATTGTCAACCGACGCGTCAGCGGAGGTTGACAATGGTTTTCCAAGGGGTGTCATTTTCAACTGTTACCCTCCAAAACAGGCACCATTTATTTTATTATACTGAATGTCATTTTGGATTAAAAGATGTTTGCAAAAAAATCGTCGATTGTCTTTACGTTCACGTTTATAGAAAGCTTTCAAACTCCCCGCTACTTCGAAAAAGATTTACTAACCTCTTTATTGTTTATTTGATACTCTAAAAGTCCTTTATCATCTAAAGTTTCGTTATCTAGCACTCGCAAGCATGTTTCGTCTGTTGTTTGTTGCTTTTAAGTAAGCTACATCAGACGCAAGCTTTTATTTACATCAAGTTTATTCCGGTTCTTTCAAACGCGCAACTGACGTATTGAGAATTCTACGGTGAACCGTACGCGCATAATTTCCATGCATGTGGCATTACCGTTGTGTTACCCGTTGCCACGTGTGTTGCTAAGGCTGAGGGTAATAGAACGGATTGTTAACTGCGTTTGAACCGATCAGATTTTAGTATTTAACATGAAAGTATAATAAAAAACTTTTGTTTTTCTATTGACAGCTTTAGGGTCTGATGTTAAGGCTCTCGGTAACGTTCTGGAGGAGGAAGCCAAGGAGAGTAAAGCTCTAATTCAAAAGTTACAGAAAAAGCTAGAGTCAGTATCTGGGGTAAGTTTCGTATTTACAGAGGATATGTGATAAAGTGTTATGTGTCAACGACCTTTACACGAGCAGTAACTAATTTTCTTAACAAATACATATATATTATTATATCAATTTGTCACATGACAATACATGTTTCGTAAAGGATGGATTTGAAAAACACAAACTCTTTAATCTGTTTCGAATGTCTATTAACAAAATCAGTTCTATAAGTGTTTTACTGCTTGAATATGTTTCGTATCTAATTATCTATGAAATACACCGTCTTTCTTTTATTTCATACACAGTTAAATGGAGAAGTGAAATCCATCCATGGTAAACCCGGAGAAGCAGTAGTTCATGAAGCGCATGCGCAGGGTGCTGACGTTATAATCTGTGGAACACGTGGTCACGGAAAATTACGAAGAACCTTTATGGGTAGTGTTAGTGATTACATCGTCCACCATTCTCACGTGCCCGTCGTCGTCTGCCGTCACAAGGACCATCACCATGGTAAAGGTCATTGAGTGACGTCATTTCCTGTGCCTGTCCTCAGAAACTGATTCTTCATTGGCCAAACTACAACAATGTATTGGTTGTGTGTTCTACAAGTGACAAACTTTTAGTTAAATTTCTGTATTTGGGTATATATTTTTTCTTTGTGATTTGAGTGTTTGCTATATTATTTTTTCGGTTTTGTTTTGGAGTTTAACAATCTTTATTTTATAATTACACTAACATGGACTTTCAGACAGCAATTAACTTTGAGGTGTTAATATTCATACTGACGATGAGTTATAACCAAGGATGAATATAACTACATGTAGTAATATAATAGACGTGTAACTTTAGGAACCAAAACATTCTTTGTACACAGTAGATAATTATATTGGTCAATGCGGCATATCTATTTAAGTAGCATATATTAATTTACAAATGTATGTATGAACATTTATATCATATATGTGAACGAAATTGTCTTCGTCATTTGTATTTAAGATTCACAATTTAATTTCTAAATAAAGTGCCATTTATTTATTTGCCTTATATCAATTGTACAACCTGAAATGAATGCACACACAGAGAAAGATTATTACGTGCAAAACCTTTACTGCAGTGTTTATACATAACAATAGGTGTTAAAAAAGGTCGCACGAAAATTTACATGCAGTACGAGTAATGGAAAAAAATTCGAGCGATCTGAGCAGTATGCAACAAAACAAATGTACAGTTTTGTAATGAATTAAAAAATACACCTACTTATTAAACACACGGATCGATTGATCAATCTGCACTTTTTTGTACTGTGCCTTTTCCCTGATTTTTCCCCGCCATTTCAGCAGAGAAGGTAAATGTTCCGTATACTCTGTCCTTATCTTCTGTAGACAGCTGCGTCCTCTCTCATTTACAGAGCGACAGGAAACATGAAGACATTACCGATTCTCTTACTGATCATTGCACTTGTTGCTGTGAGTATTATTGAATTATAAAAACGTCTAGTATTACACGTTCATTCCCATTTATAAAAAAACAAATAGTCAATTACCTGACTTAAGATAATGAAGTGCTAAGAAATACATACTTTTCCAAAAAGATTATTGAAAATATTTTAGTGAGAGGGAGGGGGATGTTATTTGGAATGGTCATTATGTTATAAAATACAATTTGGTGTTTACAAGGGTATAGACATTGACAACATTAATTTATGTATACATATGACCTGTGGAACTAGTTCTAAAAGAAACAATTCTATTTAGTCTCAATCACCCGACCCTTCCGTAACTGTTCGCCCATCCGGAAGTGTGACGCTGGGCGGAACTTGTTCCCACCAATCAGATTGCGAGGCCTCGCTCTGCTGCGCTCACAGCGGGTTTATGGGAAAGAGGAGAAAGCGGCTCTTCTTTGATGGACTCTTTAATCACGATACCGGAAAATGTCAACCACATAGAAGACTTGTACGTAAGAAGTTCTACAAGAATTCTTCAGTGAATTCATAAAGTTCTCAATACATGAATTGAAAGTGCGTCGAACTGTTTTGAGGAATTTTATTTGCAGCGATGTTATTTTTAAAAAGTTGCCCGTACCTTTGGCCTTTCAGTATTTTTAGTTAAAGGACAACAGACTACATAAGTAATTTTAATTTAATGAATAAATTCCTACTCCTGTGCTATATGTAAAAATAGTATTCAAAAAAAAAAATATTTGTTGCACTTAAGTCTAGCTGCAGAACTGTATCCATCTGGATTAAGAAAAAAAAAAACATTGCTTGCCAAAATTTTCTTAACCAGTGGGCTGCAGTTCTGTATCAAAAATACACATACACGCCAAAATATTTTATACAGATATTTGATATTTATGTTGTTTTTCAGAATGAGACTTGTATGCCTTTTATGACCCACGATATCTTCAACCATGAGTTGTACGAGAGTTACTGCCCTTGTGAAAAAGGATTGGAGTGTCGAGGACAAACAGTAGACGAGGCGGAGCACTCAGTGGTTCATCACAATCCGCGCTGTCAGGCCCCGGAATCTTAAATAGTCCCTCAAATAGATATAGCCCCTCCTAGTCGTGAATGGAATAAAAAGTTGTTAATTTTGTTGTGTTCTTTTAAATACCAATTCCATGTGTGTATATATATATATGCATTCATTACGTACTAATTCCTGAATCCAATCAGAGCTTCAAATTATAAGCCTACTCTGCATTTTCGTTTATATATAAATATCTGGATATGAAAGTTTTTAGATTTTTTTTTAACAATTTGAATAAAACAGATCGATAATTATTACAATTAAATATTTCTTATATGATTACATATATCATTTAATCCTCCCACCCCCACCCAAAGGTAAAATTTTAAAATTACTTTGCAACATTGATATAATTTATATCGTGACCAATGTATATATTTCACAATTTATACATGAGATCGAGCAGCGTTTAGTTTGAAAACTTAGAAAAGAAAAATAGCTCATTGCAATGCATTTTAATAATGGTTTTATTTTTTTCATTAAATTGATTAACATTAAAAAAGTTTAATGACCAGTACATACATGTACATGTACACACATATACATCTTAACTCATAGATTTCTTGATGCGTGGGGGGGGGGGGGGTTTCTTGCTATTTAAATGTCTGTGTTATGTGGATGAAGATTACTCTATTTTGTTGGTTGTCCCTTTATCTCTTCTTACTCAACAGCTAAATATTCAAAATATTTAAATATCTCTTATGGCACTTAGTTATGAAATTATTGTTCAAAAAGTCTTATTTGTAAGTCTTTCGAATCCTTAAGTTTTCTTAAGAGATAAGCCAAATTTTCAATGTCGACACGTAAATATTAAACAAATTTGACAATCCCAATATGGTGTTCTGCATTGAAAGAAGTTAACAAATTAAATTTATAAAACCTGAAAGTCTATGAAAACGTGATTTGTGATAGGAACTCGAGAAAATTCTTTGAATGTTTCATCCATGTGTCTGGTTTATGGAATGTCAGAAAATGGCCCGTTACAATGACAACAACTTTGAAATCATGAAAGTGGCAAGTCTCTGATTCTTATCAGTTTTAGTATTGAATCCTGGAACTGAAGTTTGATGATTTCAAAGAATGTGGTCAGATTACAAATGGATGTGGTATCTGATGATTGTGAGTACAGTCATCTCATTGATTTATTTAGTTAATTGTATACTGTTAATTACTAGTACTACACGACTTATACTAAAATTTTTATATTCTGTGCTTGAAAATAATAATGATTGATGATTAAGGACAGAAGTTGATTTAACTTTAAAAAGTCAGCTGGGACATGTCGAATTTGACTCGAACGAACTGCTATTCTCAAAAATTGATGTCATATTGATCTTTATTTCAGGGAGGCGTTGTATCTTTTATTTTACTGGCCTATTTCCAGGAAATGTTTCATGTGGTGTTTTGGAAAACGAGCTCTTCATGTGGCGGTAAGTTTCTGTGAATATGGCGCATGCGCTCATCTCGGATTTATTTTTCCTAGGCTTGGGATGTTGTGAATTAATGATCAAAGTCGATAATTGATGAATAATGGTGACTATGAAATATACTTTCAATTTTTTATTAAAACAGAAGATGTGTATTAAAGAATAGAGAAATGTTAAAGATGATTAATCATATCTAAAGTTAAAAATACAAATATATAAACCTACCGTATTTGTTTGTATCCCTTTCCAGTCCACTTCATGTGATTGCGTTGTCAAATTTAATATTAAGTAACATTTAAATTAAATGGACTTGTGACCATAGGGTTAATTTGCAAGGGGGAATATTTTTACACACCCAGATTTAGCTTAGAACATGCTGAATACACTTCTTTACAATGTAATGAAATTTCATGATGTTTTTATATTTTCAGATAAAATCAATGGTCAGCCATTTTATTTCGGCAGTACGGATGTAGTTTGCATGCGAATGATAAAACTCCGCCACAAGAGGTCGCTCGACTCAGCCTCTTTGCCAAACCGGAAGTTCTGGTCACTCAATCATAGATGGATTTACTATGACGGCTGGTACTTTGAATTATTCTACAAACCCCACACCCGCCGTGCTGCAAAGTCAGAAAATTGCCAAATTCGACGAGAACCGTTTCCCGCGGGGTACACACTTTTGGACATTGACTGTGTACGCAGATGTGCCATTTATTACAATGAACGGTTTGAGAAGCGTTACGATCCCTTCGTACAGAATTGTCATCACTATGCCAATAAGCTCGCCGAGGTCCTGTGTATCAGCAAATCTTGCCCCGACCGGTGTCTCGAAGATAATCTCTCTAATTCAACAACAGCTTCACTGTGATGAAAAAAGTTATTAATATCTTTCCCCTTAAAAATAAACGCAAAATATAATTTTCTAAGATTTAGTTTACAACTGTTATTTATTTCTTTTAAGGCAGAATCATATATAGGACCATTCTGTATCTTTGGGTACCATTCCTTTTTAGCTCACCTTAGCTGAAAGCTCAAGTGAGATTTTCTGATCCCCCGTTGTCCGTCGTCTGCCGATCCGTCCGTTTGTCTGTCTGTAAACTTTTCCCATTTTCAACTTCTTCTCAAGAACCACAAGAGGTGGGACAGGCCGGACCACAATAGGGACTCAATGTATTACATTGAAATATATACAGATATAGGAGAGGAAAAACCCTTCTTAAGAACCATTGGCCAAATCATGCAGCTGAAACTTATAGGAAACATTCCCGAGAAGTGTAGATTTTAATTGTCCAAATTATGACCTTTGAGGTAAGGATTGGGCCACAGTAGTTACATGTATTACAAAGTGGGAAATCTGGTAAAGAACAGCATGGTAAAAGATACCCACGTGAGCGATGTGGCCCATAAGCCTCTTGTTACGATTTAATGTCTTACATAATGCATCAATAATTTAATTGTTTTGTTTCATTGCTTGTATTCTGTTTTGAAAATTTTACAGTTTTTTTTTATTAATTTGTTTATTGGTAACTAATGGTTGTTTATTTGTAACATGGACGTGCACGTATATATACTGTAAACGTATTCATTTTCCACTATTGATATTCAGAAATATCTATATCTAAGAAACACAATCTAAAAAAATAATATAAAATGTAATATAGGTTCAACCTTTCAAGTTCTATTTTGTACACTTGCAACTGACCAATGACATGGCATAATGTTAATTTCAAAACAAAGATCTACATGTGCGTGTATTCAGAATTGCTCATAATTTATATGTTGTTAGATATTCCACAAATATTTGCTTCATATATTCTTTACCAATAAACGTTATAATCTCGGGCTGTTTTACATGCCTCACTTCAGTTGATACAGTGTATATTGATTCTTTGGTTAAACGATAGATTTAAATTCAAATACCAAACAATCACCAGAATTTAAATAGATTAAGTTCGAAATAAAATTGTAATAAAAACAAATTAGGTATCACCGATCAGAACACATGTACATTTAAAACTGCCCTCACAGTTACTAATATTTACATTTCCAATCAAGCGCATGTAAATAATTACAAGGAATAACTGTCGGATTTTTTTGATTTCATGACGATGATCAATCAATTGGCTTGCGTGATAATTTTCTGCGTTTCACGCAAGCCAATCGATTGATCACATCATTAAATCAAAAAATTAGACAGTTATTCCTTAAATAAATAAATAAATCAAATCATGTTAAATAATATTGTAACTAAAAATACGATGCTTCGAGATCCAAAAAATTCAACTTTACATTGCTATATTTGGTTATTGTACTCTCTAATTCAAGACAAATCGATAACACAGCTTGAAAAAAAAAAGTCAAAATCAGAAAAAATAAAATAGAAACATCATTAAATGACACCAAAACCAAACCCCACCCACCAAGAGTAAAGACTTGTAAAGTAATTACTAGTGAAAAATATTAACATCGACGACTAGTACTGTGAATTGTCCTTTAAATATGAATATCAAAAGAATTCAATTTTTAATTATCCTTTTCTTTACTTAAGTTGTACACTTCATCATAATAAATTTCCTTATAAAAATGAATACTTTCAATTCTAATGTAATACTTAAACTAAATTGTTTAAAATACTTAAGGATTAAATAGCAAATTAAAGGTGTTAAAGACACAGTGACCTTTGAACTACATTCAAATTTAATCCGACATTGCACCCTAAGAGCAGTGTATTGTTGTTCGTTTACTCTAAGGATTTCGTCTTCTTTGAGGTTTACTTTGCACGATGTATTCTTGAGAGTAGTTTATGAAATGTACACGATCATGAAGCAATGGTCAAAAAGACATGCGTGTTTTGGACAATTTTGGTAAGAACATTTAATAATTATTTTACATACAGTATTCCTGGTGGAATAAAAGTCTACACTTTATGAAATCATTTGAAATAAATATTTATTTTCATATAATTCTCATTTTTGATATTTAAAAAAAATATTTTAAATACACATTAAAATGGTACTTATGATATTATCGATTAAAGCGAATGAAATATACTAGTATTATCCAGTCATGTTCAAAATTAAGCTTTAAGCTTACAAATAAATGTATTTGGTTGTAGGTTTTATTAATTTGTTGGGTTATATTGGCCTATTTCCACGAATCATATCAAATTGACTTATGGACAAAGACTTCAACATGTGGAAGTAAGTAGGACTCTCTCTCTCTCTCTCTCTCTCTCTTAACTTATAATTTTCAATAATGAAAAAAAAATAAAAATAATTATCTCTGTAGCTATAACTTTCAAAACAGGTAAATTAATATAAATTCCTGTCATACATATCCTTTCTATTCGTGTAGGCAAAAGAAAAGGTCGTCCATTTTATTTCGGTACCACAAACGTTGAGTGCATGCAAAGAATACGTCGACGTCCGAGGAGGGCGCTAGTCAAATATCCACTTCCTGAGCGAAAGTACTGGTCTTTGAATCATAGATGGGTCTATTATGATGGATGGTACTTTGAGTTGTTTTACAAACCACACACACGGAGACCGGCAAAATCCAAGTTTTGTCAAATTAAACGGGAACCACTTCCGGCCGGGTACAGCACGTTAGATATCGACTGCATCCGGAAATGCGCAGTGTACTACAATAAGCGTTTCGTGCAGCGATACAACTCTTTTACGCACAACTGCCATCACTACGCCAATAAAATAGCAGAAGTTTTGTGTACATACTCCATGTGTCCGGGATGGTGTGAGGAATTATACCTAGAAAAGGGGAACAAAAATCTGGTGACGAAGTTCGTCACATTTACCTCATCTAACCAGAATATAACAACAAGCACTAAAACACCTGGCATCAAATGACATTTAAAATTCTAGGTCTACTAGATCGTTGCCACTATAAAAACGGATCTTTTTTGTGCATATTATAGTTATTGATATATATGCTCATTACATATAATTGTAAAAGGAACATCATTCCACCTCTTCCTTCAAGACTAAAATGACCAACTGGCGTTGAAGGTTGAGGTTTATTTCTTAAGGATGATTTCATATGGTGCTCTCTCAGAATCTCCATCAAGCAGGAAACATTAAATACCCGGTATGTGTGAAGACAACGTGTTGGATGCATGGGATTTTTTGGGGGTTAAAATAACATAAAATTAACGATATTACATTCCATTTTGAATTATAGTGAAGATATCAACTTTAATAAATTTATAATAAATAAATACATAAATATTTGTTACACACAGATAAGCTGGTTAATTGATTTATCATTATTTATTTTCTTAAATGTTGGCTTTGGTATGCATGAACTACATGTATATAAATTTTTGTACACAATATTTTAAAATATTTTATGATCTGTTAATATACAAATTAACTTCATTTCGGTCTAGTAGTACTTTAGTGTCGTGCCTGTATTGTGTTCTAATTTAAATGACCTTTCAGGTGACTGTTGGGTCAATTATAATCCTGCTTAAAAGATTTAGTGTTATAAACACAATTAAGTTCTGTCTGTCTACTTTACTTCGATTATGGATTTTTTTCAAGTGCTAAATGCTCCTTGTAAAAGTGAATTTTATGTTACTGGTTTTACAACCAAAAAGTTATTATTCAATTTTTCATACCATGCTTCTTTAACAAAAATGTTTCGTGATAAGCGTCTCAGCTTCGGACAAAAAATATATATTTTAAATATAAAGTATGATTTAAAATATAATTATGGAGATACCGGGTTATATACAAGCTCAGAAGTCCTTTCAAACAATGCAAAAGAGGATCAACCAGAGCAAGCACGGATCTCTGAAACATCAGAGGTGGGATCAGGTGCCATGAAGGAGTGAGAATCTCCTGCCGACCGGTCACATCTGTCGTGCGCTCTTTGTCATGATCAGGAAATTGATAACGGAAACATCTATTAATAATTCAACATTTAATTAATAGTCTAAAAATTAGCATGAGAAAATAAGTCAGCATTTGACTTAACAATAGACGGCTGCCTTAGTTAGGAAATGTAAACATCAAAATAGTTTTCAAAAACCCTGTTGAAACTGTGTCAACTTTAGGAAAATCTTTTTAGCTTTTACAATGTACATATATTTTATTCCACAAGCAGCTTGGAAGTGGTGCTTACGAGTTTTCTCGTAAGCTTTTAAAAGATAATACATACATGCCCACATATATATATATAATTCATAAATAGACATTTTGGTAAACATTTCTTCAAATTAACAAATTGGTTACTTCTGTATTTGCCTTGTACCCATAATAATCTTCAGTGTGTATCGAAATTTCTGATTTGCTTTGTATTATAGAAAAACTATGCATTGTGACGAAAGCGTTTTATTTCATCAGGTGGAAGATATATCTTACATGTTCATATAACCAATCAAAGCTTATATACAAGCATAGATAGGAAATAAATATTTTATTCCACAAGCAGCTTGTTAGTGATGCTTACGCGTTTTCTCATAACCTTTTAAAAGATAATACATACATGCCCACATATCTATATATAATTCATAAATAGACATTTTGGTAAACTTTTCTTCAAATTAACAAATTGGTTACTTCTGTATTTGCAGCATGCAAGCCTAAAATAAATCTCTCAGCCCTGTATCGAAATTTCTGTTACTTTCTTTGGATTTCTATGAGCAGAAATCAGGACAGGTCTAAAGAAAAAAGAAAGCATTTATATTTCATCAGGTGGAAGATATACCTGTACATGAAGATATAAACATCAACTGATATTTAAGACATGTTCGTAATAAATCCCCTTCCATTGTGTTCAGGGAACATATTTTATATATAAAAAAAATTTACAGGTTATTATATTTACAATACAGTATGCAAGGTTATTTTCGCCCCGCTTTATTTTCGCCCTTTCAATTTTGCAAACAATTTTGCACCGTCTTAAATTCGCCAGTAACACTTCTGCTTATAAGAAATAATCCTGTATTCTTTGAATTCTCTCTGTTTTAAAATCGCCCAACCAAGGTATGGGGAAAGGGGCGAAAATGAAATGTGGGCGAAAATTTCCTAGTAAACTATACATTATTTAGTCTTGAACAGTGAATTAAGTTATTTCTATACATCTAATTAGTAATAAAGATATTAAAACTCCTCACATCATTGAGATTCCTCCCATGGCAATAAATCCAGCATAAACAAAATACACGAACCCCCTCATAAAGTACTGGGTCTCGGCGTAAATATTGAAGAAAACAGTGGAGCCAAATAACCGACACAGGGTCTCCAGGAGGTATACATTAGCAAAAAGGGCACCTGCACAGAAGGGATAATCGAGAAATTATTAAAATGTTAATTAGAATAATTTGATTTTATTTTTGGTAGGAAGAATATCAGAAAAGAATCAATACTCAATAAAAATATTACATCCTTTTTAAAGGGACAAAGACACGGTTTTAATTGATTTCTAAAAACCAGTTTTAATATTCATAATTCCCAATTAAGATATTATCTAATGATCAGCAAAAATTTGAACATCATTTCTTCATTAACACTCGAGATACAGAATTTAAAGTTCTTCATAATGTAAACAAGGCTCGTGCCTTGTTTTTGTTTACATATAGAAAATATCGTCTCCATATAAGTGAAAAATTCTCGAGAGGGACCTTAAACAATATACAAACAATCAATCATATAGAAAATATCATATTTAGAACAAAATGAAATTCATCAAATCACTTGAAACTGTCTAATATTGTTTAGAAGTAATTTCTTCATTAAAGTCATCTGCTTTGAACGCACATATATTAGTATATTAAATGATGTAAACAAAAACATTCCTGCAAACTTTTTGCATAAAAAGGCTAATTAAATCTGGCTTGTATCTCGACAACTGAAGTTCAAATTTTGATGATCATTAGAAAGACCTTCGTTAAATATTTGTGAAAATGGGAAAATAATTTTGAAAATTTTAAGCTGAAACTGTGTCCATGCCCCTTTAAATTCATAAAAATTCTAAATAAACATAACATTTATTTTACATTTACAATGTATATACTTGTAAAAAAAGATTATACGGTTCACTCATAATAATGACTGTTGCAAAGATGGGAGAAGGTTCAATCGTGATTTTTTTTCTTTCCATCAATCGAAAGAAAAAAACTATTTAAAATGCTGCCCCGCCCCCAAGACCCATATAGAATGTACCTTGTTCCTTTTCATTGACCAATCGAGACATGATGCCTTTGATGACTGGAAGTGAATTTAGGGCGATCACCCCGCATCCAATTGCTGAAAAGGAAGAAGAAGAGAATAAACAATTTCTGCAAACTTTCTAAAAAAAATGATGATTACTATGTTAATTGTTAAAAAAGCGTAAAAATGGATCTCAAAACAGCGGTGATCGTATGTGATGAAAATATGTTCTCATTTCAAAAATAGACACGCATGCAGGAACTGACATAGATAGAACTAAGACATAAGAATTATATAAAACTCTGTCTATAGTCTATTTATACATTAGGAAATGATAAGTCAAATCAGTACTATTTAGTTACCATCGGTTTTGACATTTTGAAATCCCGCCAAAGCAATAGATTAAATGATTTAGTACGCTATACATGCATGTTTTCTGTAGGTTCTCTGCAAACACGAATTCTATAAATCTTTTGGTGAGATTTTGGAGTGACTCACCAATGCCTAACATCCACCAACCGGAAGCTAAACCTTCCACGCAAAAGCAGGCAATACCGGAGAAACAGCTTAGAATAGCAATTATCTCGTCATTTAAGCAAAAGTGGAGCAACTTTAAAAGAAAGACAGACACAACAATGGTTAAACCGCTTAAGGAATTGTACCAGCCTATTTCCTCTGATGAAAAACAAAATGGCTGGCCTACAAAATACAGTATATCCATACTCTGTCTCGTTGTATAGGGGGAAATGATGACAAATAAAGCGAGCAGACACAGAACGAATTGCCACACTTTTCCATCTCTGAGATTCGAAGAACTGGTGTAAAAAGCGAAAAATCGACCGAGCTTTTGATACAAATTATCCTTGTTAGGTTTTCGCTTTGATTTGTCTAAGGTTTCTGGTATGCATAGTCCAACCAAAAGATTGAGAAAAGAAAGTGTTACTGCCACTAAACAAGGCATGGTAAAGCCAAGGTACTTAATCATATATCCTGTGGATAGCTGTGACATTACGGATCCAAGACCTGCGTAAAGATGTAACAACGCTATCTTAAACGTCCGAGAATTGTCATAATTCGAAACGTCTGCAATGGTGCCACAGAGCGCCACATTTAATGTGTAATGGGTCCCCGTGATTCCAGCTAGCACACAGCCGACAAATAAATATTTTATGTGGAGATTGTACTGTAAAACAACGAGAGTTGCAAAATATTGGAGGAAAGTTCCTAAGACAGGTAGTATAATGAACAGTTTTCTTCCATAGTAGTCAGACATGACTCCTCCGAAAATAACGACAAGAAGAGCCGGAACGTATTCAACATACTCATAGTACGCGTTCCACTGAGCAGACTTATGTTGAGCCTCGTTTTGATGGGAGGAACAATTCTCGTTTGAACTCGCGTGACGCGAAGTCAGCTGGCTCGATTCTCCTTCTTGGTCACTTATATACTGGAAAGTGTACTCCGACACAACTAAACTCCCGATGATCGATGTAACGTAGTGAAGAATCGTGATTAAACACAAACAGAAGTGTACCCTCTTCTTTCTGCTTTTTAAAATGGCGTCCTCGTTGTTTGGAATTAATGGAGTTTTTTCTTTCAGAGAGTCCATTTTTAAGATGAAGATTTTAGATATTTAATTAAGTAACAAAATGTACCAAAAGCATCCTTTCTAAATTCACAGCCTTGAAAGAATGTATCAAAATAAACGCACAAAAATTATTTGTTTATGAAGTGATACATGAACATATGTAGCAACAGTGTACAAGCCTTGAAGTCAGGTGAACAGATTGACTCGTGAATACACGAGCAAAAGCTATCATGTTAAACAAACTGTAAGTTACTAGGTCACTAAGTTGGGTTCATCAGTACTCAACGTACATATCAACTGTGAGAGAATACACATTTGTTATCGCATGGTATGGAGGACTGGTTTTTAACATGGGGACATGCATACTGTCCAGAGGTTTTATTTGCCAAATCAGTATGAAAGAAAAAGTGTCCCGATGTACATGATGTATGTATACTAGTAACCAATGAATTTCTCTCAACATGAAGAGATAACCGCGATATCGTGTTTATAACCACCAATTCCTCGCTCAGAATATCTTCCCTCTAGGTATCTTGTCTTTTAAAAATAATAGTGAATCAAATGCAGAATTATAGATAATGCTCTTGCATGAAGGGTCAGTCATTTTTTCTGAATAAAGATAAAGTACAGAGTAGTTAATATAACACAATTCAATTCAATTCAATAGTTTATTCTCTTAAACTGTACAACAGTATAGAGAAAATACAAACATAAATGATGTACAATACATATAATACAGCATGCGTGAGAAAAATAAGGCCAACAATGAAAAATGACAATTTCCTAAATTAAGCAACCAACTCTCTCAATAATAGACCCAATAGGTTTACATAATATAAGTAAGTAAGTAAATATTTTATTATAGTGACATGTGTATAGACAACAAGTAAATACAATATAAACGTATATATACATCACACCCGGCCCATTGGACCTATTTGTCACTTTAATATATGTACAGTATTACTATAATCATTTAAAGCACGCATGATGGACATTATAATATTAATTTGATTGATATAAATATTTTTGTCTTAGTGAAAAACATGAATTTAAAAACTTGGCAGTTTGTCTCTGATGATTTTTCATTAAAATTTTTAAATTTTCAAATGGAGCTACAGTTCTTTTTAAATTAACATTATGAAAGAAAGTTTCTCTAATATTTTCATAGATTTTACAATGAAATAAAAAATGTTTTCATCCTCTACTGATTCGTCATTACATAGAACACAAAAACGTTCTTGTGGCGGTTCGTTTTTAAATCGGCCTGTTTCTATTCGTAACGGAAGGATACCAACTCTAAACTGAGCCATCGTGGAGCGTTCTTGTTTTTTCATGTCCATCGTTATGTAAGGTTCCATTTCAAAATTATTTTTAAAGGTCACAAATGTTCTCAATTTCGGTAACGACGATATTTTCAATTTCCATTCTTCTTCGCAAAGCGCAAACAATTCACATTTGGCTTGATTTAAATCACATATTCGGAGGTAATCAAAATTGGTTTGCATATTTAATTTGTATAGGATTTCTTTCATTTGTGAACACCATGTTCTACTATTTTGATAATTCCATAAGAAAACCTTTTTGATGAGTCTGTCGTCGTCCATTTCAATTAATCGGTTCCACCTTCTAATCATGTTAATCCAGCGCCTGTATGTCGGTGTTATCCATCCAACTTCACTGTTTAATGCGATTGCGGGTGCGTATCTACCCGGTATGTAATCCTAAAAAAATATCGAATAGCACGATTTTGTACAACTTCTAAAGAATGATATGTTTTGAATCCCCAAACCCCGGAACAATAATCTAAAATAGGGATCACACAAGATTGAAAAAGCTTTTCGTAGGTATGTCCAACATCTTTATAATCATGAATTTTCGAAATCATGACCCCAATGCTCTTCCTCCTGCTTTACCAAGAGTTTCTGCCGCTATGTTAAAGTCCATCTTCTCGTGAAAGATTATACCGAGATATCGATATTGATTAACATACTGTAATTCTTCTTCCCCTATTTTGAACTTGTATAGACTTTGAGGTACCTGGCGTTTCCTAAAGTGCATGACATTAGATTTTGCACAATTCACATTTAATCTCCACCGTTTACACCAGTTGGACAGAGTATCAAGACATTTCTGCATATCTGATTCATTTTCACTGAGAATGGCAATATCGTCGGCATACAATAAAAGGCTTACCTTTTGATCTCCAATGGGAATTCCTGTATTTAGTTGTGAAATTCCTGTTGCTAAATCGTTAATAAACAGGGAGAATAAGGTGGGTGACAAGTTGTCTCCTTGACCAGGTCCAGTCCAAAGACTATTTCTACCTACGTAGCTATTAATAGCTACCTAGGTATTTAAAGCTACCCAAAGTAGCTATTTTTACCTACTTTCTGCTTTACTTGCATTTTGTGGCCAAATGCAGGAACGGCGCAACATGGTGAGCACAAAATCTCTTGATACAGTCACACTGAAGATGGATATGACAAATATTAGGCCAAACAATTATTACTTCGTATATTATCAATTTTGCATAGAAACTAATGTAAAATTGCCGATTCAGGAAGTCATCATTTTTAGGCCAAAATTTTGTTGTATTCATCATTAGTGTGACTGTATCAAAAGATATGGTATTCACCATGTTGCGCCGTTTAGTCTTTGTGCCGCAAAATGCAGAAATTATAAAAAGTAGGTAAAAATAGCTACTTTGGGTAGCTTTAAATACCTAGGTAGCTATTAATAGCTACGTAGGTAGAAATAGTCTTTGGACTGGACCTGTTGACGTACACCGTTTGGACATACAAACCAGTTTGTCCGGAATTCATTTACACATACACAAGAGAATGTCTCAGAATATAAACTGGAAATAGCATTATAAATTGGACCACTGACTCCATTTAACTGAAGTTTGTACTGCAAGAGATCTCTGTTTACAAAATCAAACGCTTTTTGAAGATCAATAAAGGTAACAAAAGTAGATTTTCGATCTTGTATTAGGTTGGTTAGGGAAAATATGTGGTCTTTGCAAGATCTATTGCGTCGAAATCCGTTCTGTGTGTCGGAGAGTATTCCATTATCTTCCAACATTTAAATGACAGAAAGTTAACGATTGTTCAATGAACCGGAGCGGATCCTATCCTTCACTTTTGTCCTGAAAATCTTGTTGCAATCTATCATGTGTTTTCTTCACAATTCGGCCGTTTGAAGTGATTCGAAAATCTTTTCCATGAGGCAATTCATTTAGTAGTGTACGCGCATTCAATTCCAAAAGCCTTTCGGTATGAGTTTTGCTACCACGCAAAAACACATGCTTATACTTCTCCACTGTTTTCAATTGTTTCTTTTCTCTCATGATGAGTATTTTATCCTGGACGGACTCAAAGCTAATTTTAACTAAAGCTGGTTTTCCGATTTTCCGCTTTCTCAGTCGAGCAGCAGCAATCACATTAGTTGATGCATTTAGAGAATGTATCAATTCCTTGGAGACCTCCAATATGTCTGCGTCCGGTTCCTGTGGAATGTTTGAAGCTATAATTGTTAATTCCGCATTGTTCAGGGGGTTCCCCTTGTTTTCAAACAGCGTGTTCGATTCACCTGCTGACCTACTTTCTAGTGCAAGGTCCGGGCGTTCTACTACGACATTTTCAACCACCTGTAGTCTCTGAAGAACAGACATAACAGACTGTGACAATGATTCGATTTGGCTTTGCTGTTTTCCAAGTTCAAGGTCAAGGTCGGGACGGATAGCTTTGAGCTTTTCGTCGATAGACGCCATAAACTCATTTCGGATTCTGTCTAATTTACTGTTTATTGTTGATTTTAACTGTGCCTGACCATCCTGGAGTTGATCTATTGCGTTAGCAATTATAGTCATTTGGACAATCATTTTATTTTCAAAGCTGTCTGTTGTATTAGACTCACCGCTTGGTGCCGCCATCTTGAACATCTTGGTCGGGGGTTTTGGTGTCTGTCCATCAGACGAAAGTCTTCTTCGTTCAAATTCGGCCATTTTAAATCCTTCTAAATACTCCAATAGACATATCACACAAATATCTTTATCTTCGTGGCTCAATATTTACAAATACCATTTAAAACTTCAAAAAAGTTCCTTTCCAGTAAGAGCAAAAATTTCGTGACCGCTTTCGTCTCACGCATGTGCACAATGTATACTAGTTGAATTTTATTGTTTTAGATTAAATAATGTTCGGACTCAAAACTTTAGTATTTGTATGGTATACATTAACCTGGAGGGGTAACTCTCTTATTAACTATAGTAATGAATTTACAAAGGTTATTGATAACGGATACTTTTTTACATGAAAATAAATTTGAAAACTTGAAAGCACTTGGTCGAGTTGTATATGTTGATGGGATTCACAATTTTCTACTATCATTTAGAGCTGGACACGACATAATATAATGGAATTCGTCTCCAATATCATTATTACATAGAGTACATAGTCTTTGGTTTGAGGGTATATTACTCCATTGGCCTTTTTCTATGGGTAATTTATGATTACTGGTTCTAAATCTTGTTAATGTAATTGTAGTATTAGTTGACACATTGATATTTAAATACTGCCTAGATGTAAAATTACTATTAGTGAACAATTTATAAATTTTGCCTTTACTCGATGCATCACAATTTGAATTCCAATTTTGTATGAATTGATCAATGAGTGTTTGCTTCATTATATTTAACAACCATTTTTCATTTCCTACATTTTGAGACATCCAGACATAGTTCAAACCATATTCTTGTAAAATATTTTGTATACTTTCAATCCATTTAGAACTACAATTAACATTGTTGTACATTGATGAACTGTATAGAAAACTACATAAAATGTGACATAATTTTGTTTCTTTACATTTCAACAGTTTTGCCCAAAATTTTATCATTCTCATTTTAATATTTACACTTAATGGATATCTACCAAGCTCGCCATAAACCGTATAGTTTGGGGTAGATGTCTTAAGTTGAAGTATAAGTTTACAAAATTTTAGTTGAAGTTTCTCAATAATGTTTACATTTTCAAATCCCCATATCTCGCAACCATAAAGAAGGATAGGGATAACCATTTCATCAAACATATCAATTTGACAATCAATGGACAAATTAAATTCTCGTGCTTTTTTTATTATGGCGTACATAACTCTTGTTGCTCTTTGCACAGTATATTTTCTAGTACTATAAAATGATCCAGTTCTTGAAAAAAAAAAAAAAAAAACTCTCCTAAATATTTAAATTCTTTTACAATTTCAATCTCATTATTATTGTAAGTAAATACTACATTATGATAAGCCTCCTAAGTATTTTTCATATGGCAGAAGGTATCTAAACATTATACATACAAAATTAAGACACAATTGCATTTTAAATAATGATCTGTATAGATGTAATATCATAAGTAATCCAAATTGTTCTTGTGGTATGAAAGGTCCACCGAATGGTCCATTACCTCTGTAATTGTATTGAAATAATGCTGCTGTTTCAAAAAAAAAACAAAAACAAACAAATCCTTATCATTTAAATTGTTCTCCATTAAAGAAATTAAAATCTAGAATATCCAGATAATATATTTATCAATAAGTCAACAAGAAATTTTAATTACTAGACTGATAAGTGCATATTGTTTACCATTAACGTGCAATAATCACATTATTTTAAAAAAATATTTAATTATCTTAAAACTTTAAACTACAGTGCAGACAATTTTCGGAAATTTCCCTTCCCCTTTGATAAATTTCGTCAGTTTACATTTACAGATGTAGTATACGTCCACCTGGTGTTTCCCAGTGTACTGAAATAAGAAAACATGAAGTTCTCTCTGGTCTTTTTGGTGATAGTGGATATTTTAGTGGTAAGTGTCAGAAAAAATCAAACGTATTCAACAAAATAATGAATGAACGCCCATCAGCCTAAAAGTACTCAAGTAATTTCCAAAATAAATAGATCGAAATAAATCTAATGCAGTAATATAATGTACGTATAGGTGTAACAGTATATTTGTAGTCGGTTAATCAGATGTGTTTACAAAGAAAGTACAACTTTCATTTCTCAGTTGAGTCTTTTCATTTTGCATCTTCCATCGTGTGTACTTTGAACAATAATTGTGCTTATTCCTAATCTTTTATGTAATTTTATTTATCAGTAATCGTAATACAATGTTATATAAAGTTTTTATACTTCCTTGACTAGAACTTGTCGTAACTACATTTTAAATTAATTAATTAATCATTTTTATACATGATATTTATACCTAGTTTTTCCCTTGCACAAACATTGTATCACAGAAATGTTTCTTCACAGACAGTACATTCCCTGGGAGAGTCGTGCACATCCTCCGCGGACTGTGGAGACACAGAATGCTGTGTTGCAGAAGACAGGCGCATGCGCCGATTCATTTTCGGGGCATCCAAAGGCACTTGCCATGCACGCCGATACCAAGGGCAGACTTGCCACGTGTTTCTTGTCCACGATTTTGGTAATCCGAATATGTTTATGAACTATTGTCCGTGTGAGGAGGGGCTGACATGCCGCGGGGAGACGGTGGAGGTCCACGGCGGTCAGCACGTGCATCACAATCCCAAATGTATACCCTCAGCGGAAGTCTCCACTACGCAGGCTCCAAATCCAACTTCTCCCCAAGTCACAATGATTTTTTGATTTATGATGTACATGTACATGTGTATCTAGTTTTAGGTTTAACCTGGTTTTGAATATTGTCATTAACATCAATACAGCTGAAAATTTCTGTTTATTAACTTTCATTTGTCATTTGGTTAAAGGAATTGGGGACCACCACATACCTTTACATTGTACATTATGAATAACGTTTTTCTAAACGATATCAACACGTGCATTCTCTTTCTTTATAGTAAACGATATCAACGCATGGTGTTTATTCTAATATTCAATTTTGTATGTCGATCATATTGGAGTCAGAATCTTATGAGAAAAAAGGGTTTTTTTTAAAAAAAGACATGACTGCATGTTGGAGTAAGCTCATGAATAAACTGTATATTATTTCTCCGTGAGATATAGTCAGCTTGAATTAAATACTTGAGTCTTCTAATAGTGATTGCTACATGTAGGCCACAGGCACCTGACGTTACTTATTTTTCTTTTGATAAAAATATTATACACATACCTAATAATTAGGTATGTGTATATTTTTTTATAAAAAGAAAAATAAGTAACGTCAGGTGTCTGTGATGTAGGCGTGGAAAATGTATGTACACGAGCCTTAATTTATAAAAGTGTTATAAATTCTCGGATTTGTGAAGGAAAGAGAGTTACTTAGATATGTATACATGTATAGACAAAAAGCAGTTGTCATTCCTGCAATTGTCAGTATTTTTATTAGTACTTTGATTTTTATTCCGTTCGGGTTCGGCGTTCATTTAAAACAGATTAACATGTCTGCGACCATGAGAGAAGACAGCAGTTTGCTTTGAGTCAACAAATTGAGGAATATTTCGAAATTTCAATTAATGACAGGCAAACAGAGGTAACTATACGTATTTTTTATGGATTTTATATTGTTTTGATCGTTTTTCTCTCTCCATTTTCTTCATCTTTCTTGCCGATCTTTAATGTTGACGCAGATTTCGATCGTCTTTATGGATTGTACACAAACTGATGAGTAACGTTAGAGAACAATGTAACGATTGATCATTCAAGCTACACAACAAAAGAGTTTCTTATCATACACCCCTAAAAGAAAAGGTTTTAACATCCCATATGTTGTTATGTATTGATGGTAAATGAAAAACCACAATAGGACGATGTAACGTTAGACTCGAAAAAGTCATCCTTGACCGTTTACCTTTGTTCTGCCTCTGGTTGTATGCGTTCATTACGTTGCTGGGCCTGTTGGGCAATACTGGGACGTTGTTGCCACTTAATAATGTATTTAGACATATCTTTGTTATTTGTTATTGATTCATGTTTTTATATATCACAGGTAAAATGATATGTTTTTCTACAGAGCTTCAGTTTTTTTTATAGTTTTTTTTCACACAAAGTTTATATTTACTCTGATTTTAAAATCAATGCAGATTTTTCTTTATGACAAAAGTTCAACCAGTCTATGAATATATAATATATATTATCTCTGTATGATTTTAATAAACATGATCACTAAATCCTGAATATTTTACTTTCAGGTTAAAAGCCATGTAATGAAACAAAACGGTGAAATGTCAAAAGTAATTAGCTTTAAGAAATGGCAGTTGTTGATTCTACTGGTGTCCATAGTGATTCTGTTGTATTTGATGACCTCCTTTCTACGACCTTCAAACAAAACTCAATACACAGTAACCAAGCATCGAGATAACAAGTACATAGAGTGGCCAGCACTACAAGTAGCAGGGGACTCGGAGGTGAGTACGTCAATGTACTACAGATAGCAGGGGGTTCAGAGATGTACTGTATACAATGTTATTTTCGCCCTTATACACTTGCTAACAATTTTGCCCCGTTTTAAATTCACCCAGTCTGGTTCTGTATAAGAAATTATGTTATGTTCTCTAAATTTGCTCCATTTTAAATTCACCAACTTTGAAGAGGACAAAATGTGCGAAAATAAAACGGAGGCAAAAAATTTCCCTCAATACAGTATGTTGAAATACCACACATAGCAGGGGATGCAGAAGTGAGTATGTCAAAGTACTACTGTACAGATAGCAGGGGACTCATATATGAGTATATCAACTGTAAGTACAACAGATAGCAGGGGACTCATATATGAGTATATCAACTGTAAGTACAACAGATAGCAGGGGACTCATATATGAGTATATCAAAGTACTACAGACAGCAGGGGGTTAAGAGCTGAGAATGTCAAAGCTTTCATAAAAGTCGATACCAACCCCCTCTCCTAAAATAAAAATTGATGAAAAAAAATCTTACTGATGCATGATATTGGAAATGTCTAGTATAGAAGAATGAAAAATGTATAATAATAGGCCCTTCTTACATTCCAGACTGTACAGCTATAATGTTTTTCAAGATCTTAGCATATCAATATATTTTTTTATTCAAACTACAAAACCACAAGAGGAAAGTTTTTAAATCAGCTGAATCAAAATCATTTTATATTTTTAATTTAGTTTATTTCTGTTTTTAAGGCATGGTTCAAGAAATACTGCATGAAGTCGGAGGACGCACTCTCCTTGGAAGACTATCCGAAGATTCTGGATAAATGGAAAAAATCTACAGCATTTGAATGTCAGTAAGTCTTCTTAAAAACCAGAGAACCAGAGATGGGTTTATAATCCATGTCAATTTAGATGGCTGGATGATGAACTCTTTATTATATTATGAAAGTTTGTACATGTGTAGAAGTCAGAACTAAAAAAAACCCTGCAAACATCAACATATCAAATTGTTACATGTAATTCACATTTCCTTGATATACATGTACCGGTACACTGTAACCTTTTATATACGTATGTAACAGGAAAGGAGAAAATGTAAGGAGGGATGGGAATCGAACCCGGGACCCCTGTATCTCCAGTCAGGTGCTCTACCAACTGATCTATCCAGGCCGATATCCACGGCCCCATCCATTACACATGTACACATACACAGTATACCTTGATATACACATGAACTCTACTCCTTGATATACTTGTACTCTGTACCACTTGAGGTACATGTACACTGCACCATATGAGACTTTTCTTTTATTTGACCTCACTGCTAGATTTTATGGACTTGCATGGCATAAAACTTGCATCAATTTTTTATTGACTTATTTTATATTCTCATAAACTTGAAATCTATTGTCATATAAATTGACATATAACTTCATTACACTTGCAGAGATATGTATAAAAGATTTTCTTCAATTTTCACAATTACTGAGCACCCTGCCAAGGTAGTAATCCCAGAAACCTTTGCTGCAAAGGTCAAAGGTTGGCTGGGAGGAAATGAGGAGCTTTTCAACAATGTCAAAGACCAGGTTTGTACGTTTGTATTAATATACTGTTTTAAATTTCAAATTCTTTAGGACTTTATAAGCTTTTGACAAAATGCTATTCATTATTTTACTGATTATAATAGGAAGTATTATAGTCCTTTTCTGTTCAACTACTGGCATATCATTGTATATAGAACTCCATTTTTTCCAACCATCTTCTCATTGAACATAACATAGTTATTTGTTTTAAGATTTTAAATGCTCAGAATATGCAAGGTTTATATTATTAAGATATGTTGAATATTAGGATTAATTTGTGTTTAGGTCTCCTAGCAGTTTTTGTTAATTCAATAAAAAATTACTACTGAAAATTTTATTTATTAAATTTTTTTGTTGCAGAGAATCCTATTCATATACAATGAATATACAAGGGAGGAAAATGTATACAATCCTCTAAGAGAAAAAAGACCCATGTCTAAACCTCCAAGACCTGAACGAGAATAGTGAGTGTATACATGCACATGTACTTGCATAATAATGTATATCATGTAAATTTTTATTTACAAATTAAAAAAAAATCTTCTTGATTCTGTTCTTAGTTTTACATACATGTAGATGGTTATGTAGTTCAAAATGTGAATTATTCTTTTCCAGTGTGGAGGAAATCTCAAAGAAAACTGCTGAGACTTGTGATTTTTGCCGATACAAAACGTGAGTCAGTTTAATATATACATGTACCTTTAAGTCGTACATTGTATTAAATATCTTTATCATATTAAATATCACGAAGGTAGACAGTTCTAGACACTAAATATACATGTACCTAATGGCAAGCAGTGGTCATTGAACAATGGTAAAATTCAAAATCTGTGTAAATCAGTTATGCGACAGAAAGTTATTCCAATCTTTTTTGAGCAGACACACTTCGGAGGACGTGTTTGGTCGCGTAGAGTCCGATTATTCCTTTACGGCAGCCAACACTTTTAAGTTGGACACCTGGCATACACTGGCCTTATTTAAGAAGCATCATCCCCTCAACTGGACCTATACACAGTTTACAGACCTCATGCAGACGTCACGAAATTGGTAATTAATCAATGCAAAATTTCAAAGCCATGTTTCAGATTCAGCCCTAGATGTTGGTTGAAATAGGGGTAAATCTGCAGTGTTATTGGGATCATAAAATAAAAAAAAGCAGGTAAAGAAATGTTTATATTTTTTGGGGAAAAAAGTTCCAGTTAAATATCTATTAGACTATCTTTTGTGTAGAGAAATATTTATCTTCTTGAAGAGTTATATCTTTCCTGTGGGGATGGCAAATCCTTATCAGGTATAAACTAACTGTAGCAAATTTATTTTTGTTCTGTGTACTTTGAATGAAATACTGGTTCAAATAATATTGATCTTTGAAGGTTACAGAAAGCGCATGCAGTGGACAAGAGCTATAAATACCCCATGTTTATCTGGGACATGTTACCTCACGGTGGGGCCAGTCAGGTCCACCCCCACTTACACAACTTCCTGGATCAAACCAGGTACCAAGGTAATACTTTTACATGAGAAATAAAACAACCAAGTTATAAAAATTGTTCTCTTGTGTAAGGCTAATAAAATTGAATTTAAGGTTCTCGGGCCCATGCACATTTGTTTTCAGTTAGCTGCTTTTCAAATTTTATTTTTTGTTTTTTGATAGTGTAATAAGTTGGTAAGAGATCAATCTGGAAAAAAATTCAGCCCTCATTTTCTCATAGTTTAGAACTCAAATATCACTTAGGGTAGCCATTTTCAAAGAGACTTGGTTATCTTGTTTAAAATACATTTGAAGGTAATGCTAAAAAATAATTCCCTCATCAACTTCATCGGCAATAAAATGTTGATAAAAAGGAGCCTACCTCCCACATTTGTTTTGGAGAAAATTTACCTGAGATCCTAAGAATTATATTTATGTAGCCTAAATTCTTACAGTCAATTATCAATTACAGAAACATGGCTTTTCTTTTTCTCTTATCCAAGAAAGACTATCTGACTTTCTTTTCTGTTGCACCTATATAAACTGTACTAACATATGACTGTTTCCTCTAGGTGCTGTTGAAAACTGGAGAATGGCAGCTAACCTTTACACCAGGGATTTCCCTAAACACAATTACTTCTCAGATCTCATTATGATCCACATGTCACTGGGGCTGGGGGTGAAGTATGGCAAGGCCGCAGCTCTCGCCTCATTGGTGAGTACATGTACTAAGGTCAAAAGGTCATTGATCAGCTGAGAATTTAGAAAGTAAAAGTTGATTGATATTTATCATCCAGTTTTAAAAATTAAAAGAAGATTGTAGTTTTCCTGACAGTAATATATATGTCCAATTATCGACGTTCGATCCTGATATCTAAAGTCTTAAACTTTTTTTGCCAAGTATATTTTTAGTTTCTACATACATAGCTTAATTAAAATTCAAATCAAAAAATGGGGGTCAATATGCTTCTTTTAGCGCTACAGTACATTTAATATGACCTTTCTGCACTGAGTTTTGTGTCTTAATTAAAAATTACATCTTTGACGTTTTCCCTGCAATATTTTTATCCAATTAAAGCACGAAACAAATTAACTCTAAGTCTGTTTAAAAAAAGACACTTAAAAATTGTGACTAAGAAACAGTTTCAAATTGCTTCGCATAATCAATTATTTGACCTTTCTGCACTAATAAAATGTTATTTTTCTGTCATTGAAAATATAATAAGCAAGAAAATTATTTTAAAGTCTTAAACTTTTTCTGATTTTAAGCAAATAGGTCAAAGTTATCCTGAATATTTAGAAAAGAACATCAAAAGTGGGGGTATATGATGTACATTTTCAGATATTACTAAAAAAGTGTGAATTTTACGTTAAAATTGGCTCAATTTTTTCCCCGATTTTCAGAATATGTTTACTATATTTTTCACACTTTGTTGATAGAATTCATAAAAAATAATTTAATAGATATTTCAGAACTAGCATTGCATATTTAACTGCGACAAACAGCTTTGTTTGCAACCAGCATGGATAAATAGGCATCCACAATTAACAGTACTGTTATAGTTCAAATGGAAAAAACTGACCATTTTCGTCTAAAAAACCTTCCGCCACAAAATATAATCCCTAGCTTAATTCTACTTGAATGGAATTTAATCGCGGTTTTTTCATTGAATATAGTTTAATTTGCATTGTAGAATTCAGTTTTATTGTTAGAACCTAAAAATGATGCTTAATTTTATGAATAAGTGACCTGCGCGAAATACGCTCAAAATATCAGGATCGAACGTCCTTAAGGCAAGTCTTGTCTTTCACTTTTCATTCTTAGTAATATCACTTATTTTAAAATTTTCTTTTACTAATCTGAAATGTATTCAGGAATTCTGTTACACACAAGTAGCCAGTATTTTTCAGCCTATGTCTGGTACCTGTGATAATTTATCTAATTAGCATCACTGTTACTGTGGCCAAAATCAAAACAATTTTTTTTTACCTTAATCTACAGTTTACAGAGTTGTGTATATTTGGTTTAGAAATAACTGTATTGTCTTTTATCTATTGTAATAGTTACCAAAGAAGGACAATGAAGTCATTATCATCAGTGAAGAGGCAGACCAGGACTTCTATGATCTCCTGTACTTCACATACAGAGGTATGTTTATAATGAATATTAAATTTGTTATCTTAAAGAGAAAGTAATTATTACATTTGGAATGTTTAAATTATATATGTTTTTTTTCAAATATGATTATAGATATCTGCATTTTATATTTTTCAGCGTTCATTGATGATATGGAGAAGTTGTGCTATAGTTCAGGAGTGGGTCTACCAAGTTTTGTAAGTTTAATTTAACAATATAAATGCAATTTATAAAGTATTCCTTTTATATATATTATGACATGTGCAATTCTAGTAAGAATCTTAAATATTATAACCAATTAGCTTATGCAAAACACAAGATGTTGAAAAAGTAAGAAATATTACTTAACAACGTCAGTACAAAAAAGGGTTGGGGTGGGGGATGGGGGTGAGTGATCTATTCCTTAGAAATATTTGATTAAGAAAACGTTGTATGGAATATGATTAATTCTGACACCAGTTTGTCTTTCCTAGGACAGGGAGGATAAGCTGGGGAGAATTCCTGCATTTGCACGTCTGATTACTAGAGGCCCAGTAGAAGACATACGGGCTGATATGAGCTCTTTAGAACTCTTTACTGTGAGTTGAATATTAAAAAGCCGGAAATAAGTATTTTCAGTTAATCAATGAATTCAAGTAGTATTTTATGGAACAGATTATTAACATAAATTTACTTTACAGTGAGGCATAATACATAATCTTAAATGATTAGTTGGTTTGCCTGCATCTTACAACATTGTTTCCGTGCATGCTTATTGACATCATCAAAAATACAAGTTAATAAAATGTAATACATGTAGTAAAAGTGATATTTTTGATATATTGTATCCAGAGTTGGGATATTTGTTTTTCTTCAGGCTCAGAATGCCAACACAGATCCATACAAAGTCATACAATTTATCAGGAAATCCATAAAGAAAAGAGACAGAAAGAGAAAAACGTAACAGTGGTGCTAAATAGGACTTCTATTTATTGTAATGGTGTAACTGAGATTAATCTACATTGTAATGGTGTAACTGAGATTAATTAATGTATGGTTGTGTGACAGTATCCATAGTGAGAGATGTCAGTTTACTATCTGCTTTAAATTTTATGGCCTTATGTGTTACATTCCAAGAGAATTATTTTTAAAATCGATTTAATTTAGTGGAGGTACAATTCATAGATACATGTAATAGAAACATAAATAAGTGAGACTTGTAACTTTGTCATTAACAGATTCAGTTGCTACATATATGACAGTCCTAATTATTCTTGATTTATTAGACCATCTTTAAAATATTTTTGATTGCCTTCTTTGGACTAACTAACTAACAATGGCTTGACTCAAAACTTTTTTTTAATTTCATTACACATTTTTTTCTTTTTATTTCCTTCATCCCGAATATGCTGAAATATTCACGAAAAAAACTGTCTAACTTACCTGACAGCTTAATCATTTTACCCTGAGTCAGAAAAGGGCAAGAAAACAATATTCTAAAGATGGCCCTTTATAATACAAATCATGTATAAGTATATATATTTGTTGAAATTCTGAAGCAAAAGTTAATTAAAAGTTTGCAAATTGGGCAAATTAAAGAGGAAAGTAATCGAAAGGCAGATCGTATGTCAACAGTAGTTTACTTTAGATTTCTCTTTGTTTATAGCAATAAAGAGAAAAAGGAGAAAGACATTTAAGTAAATTCAAAACATTCTGAATAATTTTTTGAAATCAGTAAAAATGTCTTCATAATTAATTTTAATCTTATTTGATTTGAATAATGCAAGATTTAAAGAAAGTAAACAAAATCTTGAGATTTCAAACTTTAACAGTTTGTGTTATTTATGTCTCTGACGAAGGGTTCATGTACCAGTATTTTTTTATGTTGATTTTCCTTTGAAGATAACAGGGTTTTTAAAAACTTGTAGTAGTGTAATGTTTGTTGTAATAGATTTAGTGTAGATGTATAAATGAGCAGGGTAAAGCTAGAATAATAGAAACATCAGACTATTGACTTGAGAATTAAAAAAAAAACTTAGTGGACACAATAATAAAGATTTTTTTCGAAAGCATATTTATTAATATTTAGAAGATCTATATCTATATTTGGAATATGTACAAGGAGGTTAAACATAATCATGACAGTATAATCGTACCAGTATGAAAACATTGTAATGTAAATGCAGCAAAGTACAGTTGTTGGAAAATATTTGTGTACATGAAATTACTTTGCTTGTTTGTTTTTAATTCTTTCTGTTGATAAGATTTTATGATGGCATGTACTATTTTGTAATGAATGTTTGAATTCTCTTTTTTTTCTTGACAGAGAAATATATTTTTATCTAATTATAATATTGTAATTTTTTTTTTACAAAGTGACTGTCATACATCTTTTATAAAAGTTTATGGGTAAAATGATATATTTTGTTAGTTGATTTCCTTGTAATTATTACCTTGAAGTTCATATTGTTAGTTTAAATTTTATGTAATATCTAAAATGAAGTTTAATTTCAGTGTAACATAATTAAATGCTGAGATTCTTCTAGGTAAGATCTGGAAAATATATTTGAAAAAAAAGAGATATATTAGGAGATGAGGTGTTTGTCTTCTGTTTTATGTTGACCTCTGAAATGAAATAATTTTTGGAGAAAAATAATGTAGAGTTTAATGTACCAGCTGAAAAATAAAGGATCGTGGTAATTAATGATAACAATTTTGAGACTCCTATCATATTTTTTGTACACTTAATTTACTACATGTAGTATTTACATGTATTTACTCACTAGGAATATAAAACTTTTTAAAAAGGCCTTTTAAATATTATTTTCTTGATGTAATTTTATTTCTATATAACCTTGTGCATATCAAAACAAAATTTAAAATGCTCTATATTTATTATTGAACAAATAAACATTTTAATATGTACAAAGAACTATATATGTGGTATTTATAGCTATTTCTGGTTTAATGTATTTTAGTGAGAAGATAAGAAAGAAGCTTACTTCCACAATCAGTGGAACCTGCTACATTTATTCTTATTATAATTTTTATGGAGTATAGAAAACAGTCACATAGTATAATATATTAGGCATATTAATTTAAGTTGAATTTGACTGATGGGAATGTAAATAAATTAAACTGACATGAGTTTAAGAATTTTCCTCCTTAGAAAGGGTAGAAGTTTTAAATCAATGCTACTTGCAGAAATAAATTTAAGTTCCTTGAAAATACATATACAATAAACATTATGAATCTTACAAACAAATAAATGATGTTGATTATTAAAGGTCAGATGATACAAACCAAAAATGAATGCCTTGTTTGATGTATATTTTTTGACCTGATTTCATTGCAAATGATGAAAAAATTTAAAAAAAAAAAACTTAAACATGTTAAATGGTATTTTGGGATCCTTAGAAAGTGAAGTGCGAGTAGTTGGATTTTTTTCCGGGAGTTCAAAAATCTAATATTTAAAATGTACATTGCAACCAAACGTAACACTGTTACAAGCCAATGTTATTGGATGGAAATTTTACATTTTAAGTATAAAGTCCTTTGAATTTTTTGATCACTTAATCAATCAGTTAATGTGATAGTGGTTTACATATTGCCTGTTCTAATTCTAATACAATATTCTATTCGTTTCTAAAACATTTAATCTATTTTGGTAAAAGGCTTAGATTTACTTTTTCATATCTAGTTCATCGTCTTTCATTATTTTTGACAGAATTCATGAAAGAACAAGGCTCCCTGTATTTAGGACTCTTTAAGAACATTGAATCTAGATCATTTTTAACTCAAATTAGCTGAAAGCTGATGATGGCTACATCCTCTTTCAAGTGTTGTGATATTGATGAATTCGTGAAAATTTGTACTTAAAAATGTCTTAAAATAAACTGGTCCAAAAAGATTAACTTTTATGGAACCTTGATAACATACATGTAAAACAGATTGCAATCTTTCGGTGGGGGGAGGGGTGAGTGGGTGGTTTAATGTTGGTTTGGGAATGCAGTGTGTAGATTTTAACTTAAGTAAGGTTGAAGACGAATTTTTATCATTAAAATGTGACTTATGTTCAAAGTACCTATTCCTTTGTTAAACATTTTGAGTTGAAGGATTATTTATTTACGTTGGCAAGAAATAGACTTGCGTTTATTGTATGATATAAATCGAATTATTTATTGGGTAAATTTATATAACACTTCAACAGTCTGCTTGTATACTTAAGAGCATTCTCGGCTGAAAAAGCATAAACTGCCCCAACCTAGTTTATACCAGTATAACTTGGGTAGATATTAAATTCATTCCTTATATATAACACTGTACATTACAACTTTAATTTATCAAGTGGTATTTTCCCTTGAAAAACTGAACATGAACCAAAAGGTCAGTGATCCAATTTAATGACAAATACTGATTGGTTAATGATGCTGTAGCATTTGTTATGAAACTTATAAAAAGTAAAATTCTATTGGACAACATTTGCATTAAACATATGGGAAAACATAAGAGGGCAGGTATTCAAGGCATCCCCTCATGTCATAAATGTCATACATGTATAAACCTTAAACAAACACCACAAATTCATAGTCACGCAAACTTCTTGTAAGCATAGAAAGTCAGATAGTCAGGCTGTTTATTAATTCGATAAATGAAATGAAAACCAAATTATTCATTTTTACTTAATTTTCAGCCAATTCGATATCTACATTATCTTATAAATAAATAAAAACGCTATAAGCAAATGTAGATTTATTCATAATATAACCTTAAAGTACATATGAAATCTAATTTTTAAGTGATTTTATCGTAGGCCATTAAATGACTATATAGCGTTAATCTATTACATGCCATGTTGTTGTACCGAATCATTTTCTAGAATATCGGTTTCATTGTATCTTCTCTATCAACAGATCAACATAGTTTAAAATCAACATATTCTTAACATATTATCGAATGTAATGATTAGTTTGATCGTTGCAGATGCTTAATTGATCTTAATATTGGATAAACATTTCTAAAATATACATGTATGGCGTTTAGGTTATGTTGGTTCAAAGTCATTTAAATCATACATTGTGTTGTTATAAGCTGTATTCTGACTATTCTCCTTAAACATGTTAAAAGTATTTTGTTCTCAATGTCTTCCTTTTTTGTGAAGCTATTTCGTGACTATGCTGGGACAAAATGACTTCTCTGTAAGTAGCTTTTATTATTACCTTCGTCTTGTAAATCATTTTTATCAATTTTATTACTCTGCTACATATACAGGAAGTACTTGCTGTATATATATAGAAAGAACTTTAATCCATTTTACCAATCCTATCTTTAACAAAAATGCATGTAAGATATTTTATCAGTTGTTTTGTACTCATATTTAGAGTAAACTTTGCCTTTCCACCACAAGCAATTACAAATGAGATCGGCACAAAGTCCCATAGCTGCATAACGTTTTTAGGAATCTACAGAACAGCTGCAGAATTTTTGACCAGGTATAATTATGTGAACAATACAGGCCAGTCTACATCCCAAATAGTAAGGGATTTCTTTGGTACAGGTATGTAAATCTACTTAATAGCTCCAAACCGTGAAATTCTTTTTTTTCTCTTTTGTTTTTGGGTATTTGAAAAATTTTGTTAAAAAAAGATTAAAATCTCAATACAAAATTTAATAGAAAACAATCAATTAATTATGCTTTAGATATATTGCTACTATGCAATGTCAAATAAAATCATCACGAAATCTGGTGATTCATATCTTTATAAATAAAACAAAAAATGACTTATGCTTTCCCTATAATTGTATACATGTATATTGTATAAAGTATTAATTGTCAGTGAAGAAATAAAATTACATGACATACAAATTAAATGATTTTCCATTAGGAAGTCCATTCATGTAAAATATCCAGTTATATCCTCTCTTATATAGAATTTAATATAAATTTCAACAGATGATTAGGCAATTTTGAAAAGCTTGAAATATTGTTTATTGATCATTCAAAAGAATGTTTTTTATTCTCAGATTCAAACTCATACACTGAATATCTCCGAACAATTTCTAAAATTGTTGGAAGTGAAAATGACATCCAGGTTTCTCTTGGAAATATAGCATTTTACCATGTCCATGGAGAACAGATCCAGCTAGGTGTTTTGTCTTTTTAATTGTGAAATTTAGATCATATAACTGTAAACTTTCTATATATATATAACATGTACATGTTATCATTTCAATTTTTTTTCACTTTTTCCAATTTTTTCAATTTCCAAACTTCATATAGAAATACTGTTTTTTTTATAAATGTGTCACCTTTCTATATTTTTTTTGTGTGTATTTTACAGTTATACAAATTTACAATAAGTGAAATTCAATATACAATATAATGAATAAACAATCGAATGATATAAAAATAATAATAAATAAAATATACCAGAAGTGCATGATTTCGACAATAAGGACTTGAAAATCTTTTCAAAATATGAACTTCTTTTTAAAATAAAACAAAGATCTGCAATACATTGCTTTTGTTACTTATATAGCTCATAATTACATCCGATCTCTTCGGCACATGATTCAAATCCAAGCGCAAGCCTCGAACCCCAACATCGAATTGATTCGAGAAAAGATTGGATATGCTCTTTACACACTTCAGGAATTTTACAGCAATACAAATTGGGTTGAATTGAATGGAGATACGATTTACTCTGATTTTGGTATGACATTTCCTCTGTTCATCCATGAAAATTTAATTAAGCGATTTCTCTATAGGATCTTTTTATTACTAGAATCAAAGTTTATAGAATCAAAGAATCAAATGATGCCAGTTGGGAAAACGTAAGGAAGTGAACTCATATTTTGTTCACTCTGTCAAGGACTATTCATTTTGTAGGTCAGGAAAACGTAACGTTAACTGGGATTGCTGGTAATGACGAAGAAACATGTGTGGACTGTAACAAAGATGAAGAGTGAGACCTTTTTTATCTGAATTATTTTATTTTTTTTTAGATGTATGCATTGATTTAAAATCTAATAGTTTGTCTGTTCCACACTTTTACAATTGTTTTTACAAATCCTCTTCTTTGATTGAATATTGTTTACGATCATTCAAGAAATTTCCACTCATATAGAGACGTCACTGTATGCCGGTGAAGGGCTTCAAATTTAGGGCTATACTCAACACCCAGGGCCTTTGGGCAATGAGGGTTCCTTATGTTAACGCTTACTATGATGCGGAACATACGGTTTTAAGGTCATTTCCGAAAGACTCGTGACTCCCACTTCTAGTGCGGAGCGTATGTTGAAGTAACAGTCACTACCTATGTTTGTGTCTTAGGTTTGACCTCAGGTGTGGGATCAGGTGCCTTAAAAGAAAAATCCTCCCTGACGACCAGACACCCCTTTCGTGTGCTCCTTGAAAAGATAAGAGAAAAAAGGGGGAAGGGGAAAATTTTGTGTGTAAATAATGACATATCAATAAGTATGAAAAATGAGAGATTGTTTCTGCTGACATAGTCTTTGTATCAACAATAAGACCTGAATTCTCAATAGCTTGCCTAAATTCATAACTTGTTCATATGTATAGCGTGACCTTGCCTTTAAAATTAACTGAGAGACAATAACCCAATATGCAGGTGATAGGGGAATATTGCTTAAAAGTAAGGGAAGTTGCGGATTGGAAATTTGAAGTCAACACTTTTATCATAAAGCGACAGATGTATATTTGTTTGATCACGTGTGTTGTCTTCTGCTTAAGTATTGGGGTAAATTTGAAAAAAAAAAAAAACAATTGTCAATGTTTTATCATATGATATATGACACAGACTTGAAGTATCAGTCTGCTTTGAAGTCACTGTAAATTGCTTTGTAAATAATGCATATTTGATTCCTTTAAACAAAGCGGCTATACAATTTTTTTTGGATTGCTTAAATGAAATATGCAATGTGAATCTGAAGAAAATTTACTTCCTAGAAGAAAGCTAATATTTTAGCAGTTAAAGATTTTCTTGCTTACTCACATTGCAAAACAGGAAAAAAGAAAGTAAAAGGTTCCAAATACATTGCCAGTTCAAGTTGTGACAAATTAAAAAAATATTTGGTACTTGTAAATGCTTAAACATAAATCTGCCACTGGGTTTACTTTATAGCGGCGTGTTCACCTGTGAGGCTAACATAATTACGACATTATTGACAAGTGGCTATAAATCTGGTCAAGATATCGTAAAAATTCTTGGTGAGTTATATTTATCATACAATTACATCTGTTTATCCAATGTGTTTTATTGTAAATTAAAAAAATTGTTTAATTTTTGAGCAAGAGTGTGTGTGTGTGTGGGGGGGGGGGGGGGGGGTCCCTCATCACCTAATGTTCTTATGTAAGGGAGTATAATTAAGATAAAATAAATATTATGATTTTAAACAACATATACTTATCGAAGATCAGTTCCTTGTGTTTAGTTCTAATACGCAAAAGAGCAGTGTGTCAGTGCGAATTTAAGGAAGTTCGATCTTAAACTTTTGAGTGGATTTTGGTCCTGTCCTTTATTAATAAAATTCTGCATCATTTTTAAGTTGTTACATTAAATATGAATTCTACAATGCAAATTGAACTACATGTATATCCAATGAAAAAACCGCGATTAAATTCAATTCAAGTAGAATTTAGCAAGAAACTATATTTTTAGCAGAAGATTTTTTTTTTTTGAAGAAAATGATCAGTTTTTTCCCGTTTGAACTATAACAATACTGCTAATTGTAGAGTCCTATTTTTCCATGCTGGTTGCACACAAAGCTGTTTTTTTTTTGCAGTGAAATGTGTTATGCTGGTTCTGAAATATCTATTTAATTAATTCTTTTGAATCCTTTCAAGAATTGTGACAAATATAGTAAATATATTATAAAAATCCAGGGAAAAATTGAGCCAAATCTAACGCAAAAATGACACTTTTTAAAAAGAAATATCTTAAACTTTACATCACATAACCCACTTTTGATATTCTTTTCTAAATACTTGAGATAACTGACCTCTTTGCTTAAATCCAGAAAAAGTTTAAGGCTTCAAAATACTGTTCTTGCTTATCACATTTTCAATGCCAGAAAAATCACATTTTGTTAGTGCAGAGAGGTCAAATAATTGTTTATGCGAAGCAATTTGAAATGTTATCTTAGTCACAATTTAAGTGTCTTTTTTAAAAAAAAAAAATAAACTTAAAGTTTATTTTGATTCATGCTTAAATTGGATAAAAGTATTTGAGGGAAAACGTCAAAGATGTAATTTTTAATTAAGACACAAATTTCAGATGAGTGCAAAAAATGTCATATTAAATGTATTGTAGCACCAAATGAAGCATATATATTTACCCCCATGTTTTGATTTGAATTTTAATAAAGCTACATGTATGTATGTAAAAACTAGATATACACTTGGCAAAAATGTTTAAGACTTTAAATATCAGGATCCAACGGTTTTAAGGGAACTACTAAGACGGCGCCAAAGTAAGATTACATAAGTATCCTGCTTTTAAAAAGCCTTTCAATTGGGTATTCACATTTTCAATAGGGGATTTGAACAATGATATTCGTTTATTGGTATGATAATTTTAAAAGTTTCGCATACATTTTATCAAACTTTTTTCAGGAAAAGATATTAAGAAAGGAAAATGCAGTATAGGTACATCTAAAGATGAAAGCAGAAATATACGAGCAAAAGGGGGAATCTACAAAGGACGCAGTACAAAACAGGGGGCTCCTCATTATAATCTTCACACACAAGCAGTAGAGGCGGCAATAAAAGCAACTAAATATTTCCTCATGAATGAAGGTATTATTTTTTATATCAACAAAATGCTTATACATTGCTTATACTGAATTTCAACAAACATTTTGTTTATTGAAATTACAAATACTGAATCTATGCAATCACAAAATATTGTTTTTTTTTTTATTATTTTTGTCTTTTGTCCATTCATTTATTTATTAAAATATAATATTTCTAGGTATAGTATTTTCCAAAATGCTTTATGGGAATATAGTATTTCTATGTCGATATATTCTTTTTCAGATGTTGGCATTATCAATATTCTTGGACGACAACTTTTTCAGGATGTATTTCATCTTAAAACAAAGGAATCTGTTGTAGACACGTCGTTGACGTTTGTAGTCGATGTTACTGGATCTATGGCCGGTGACATTGCCTCAGTTATTAAAGCCCTGAAGACAATCGTTGAAAATTCAAGAACCTCGAAATTCGTTCCTTCAAAATATGTCTTAGTCACTTTCAGTGATCCTGGTTGAGTAAAATATAAAATGCAAGTCATTTTGGTATTAAAATATGGATATTTAAATATTACATAATAATATACATTGTATGATGTTTGCAGAGTCGCTAACGAAAGGGATGGAAACTAGCGATTGGTTGGAGATGATTCGATGGATAGAGGCTATAAGAGTCGATGGTGGGGGTGATTGTCCGGAATTTGCTCTGTCCGGCATGCTTAAAGGTGTGCTGCTTGAAATCATCAAACATTTGAAAAACTGCTTTTAAATTCAAAGCTATATGCAACGATAGAATAAAAGTTTTACGAACCTATCTTAACAATGTCTTTACTTCATTTATTTTCATTATCTAAGCAATTAAAAGCAGCTCATAAATTATGTACTAAATGTTTACAGGCATAGAATTGTCTGGTCGGAATTCAAAGATATTTCTCTGTACGGACGCAAGCCCAAAAGATGGGAACAAAAAGGAGGAAGTCATAGATGGTCTGAGAGCAAAGTCTATAAAACCTACTCTTCTAGTGACTGGCCATTGCGGAATTGTTTTGAAACAAAGAAGAAAAGATGTACTAGGTTTATCTTTAAAAATCATCCAAATTCAAAATCATTCATTAGAAAAAGAGGTTTTTGTTCCTCCTTGGTATATTCGGGGGGAGGGGGGTGTTTATTCCCTATTCACAGATTCGTATTGTTTCTAATTTTTTATGAGATCTTTTTCATGAGAAGATCACAAATAGTCATAATGCTAAAGTGTCTTGAAACTAAACAGATGTGAAGTAAAGCAAACAAGTAAAACCTCAAAGCTGGGATATATGTCATGAAGGTGTAAGCACTCCTGCCGACCGGTCATACCCACAGCGTGCTCATTGTTATGACTGGACAAATGAAAAAAGAAATAGACATTTTATTATGAAAACAAAGGCCTTGCCTTAAAAATTGTAAACTCAGTCAACAATCGAATAAATAAAAGATTGTATTTCCTGATACGATCATTACTTCTATTATCTAATTTGACAAGCGTTGACCTCAAAGTAGACTTTTTAGTCAGTAGCTTAACTTGTTTTAGACATTGTGCATATCTAGCGGCTATAGAAGAAACTGGGAGACACAATATTCAGGTGATAATAGTGGGTTATATATTACTATATGAATATGGGAAGCTAACTAAAATAAAGTTGAAATCATTACGTTTGTCATACCATATGGGGTAAGGTTGCATGTAATATTTCCGTTTTTTTTTTTTCTATTGTAAATTATACAAAGATATATAATTTTATTATAAAACTAAAAATGCTATGTATTTAAATGCGATTTTCAATTTAGTAATGAAAAGTGTATATATATTTTTTTTTTCATTTTTAATTCAAGCATTTTCAGAACCTAACTATTATAAAGTGTTTGAAAGCATTGCGGAAGAAAGTGGTGGATCACTGTTTTTAACTGATAGTACAGCAATGGAAGAAATTATCATTAAAGAGATCGAGGTAGGCTGAATGATTTTTAAATACTTTTTTAAATAAAAGTATCTATTCTAAAAAGGTTCTAAAGACTTTTATTAATATTTTACAGGATACGTTTCCGTCATCTACAGTTTCTGTCCAATGGTTTGAACTAGATCCTTCAAATTCTCGAACAAATGTCACTGAAATTTTCGTTGACAGTACCATAAACTTTCTACAGATTGAGATTCGAGGCGTTCTTTCAATTGACGATATTTCGGTTCAAATGCCAAACGGTATAAAATGGGAAAAAAATAACTGCCATTAAATAGTTAAAAAATATTGAAAAAAAGTGTTGAAACAAAATTTAAACTAAGTACGAGGGGTTATCAAAAAGTTTGTGGACTGAGGCTATAAAATTAGTAGTATTTAGTCTGTGCTTTCAAAATTTATATGGAACATAAAACAACAAAAAATAAAGAAATGTTGAAAATTTTAGCCTGATACGTTCATTATTTGCCAAGTTATTATAAAATGAAAACGACATTATATGATCACCCGGCGCTGTCGTCGTTTATTTTCATGACGTCATTGTTTTTTTCAATGTCCACTTCTTCTACCTCATACACTTTTTTTTGACGAGATTCCCTTAAGCTGAGTATGGACCCAAACCCGCCTTGTTTATCTGACTTTATAATGTCATGAACAGTGGCCTTCAATGAATATCATATTCCAAAAGGATTAATACATTGGGAGAGATCTTCGCTTGATTGTGCTGGCATGTATTGCTTTGGGGAGTTCAATATCTACAACACATGATCAACGTCATTTTTGACATGATTGATTTTTCACACCTTGACTGCAAATCGACATTAAACGTGTATCCCTTTTCTCTCTGAATCTATTTTGACATCAAAAGACAAGTACTCTTGATGCATATTATTTCTCTGTAGCCAATTTCAACATATTTTAGGTCTATGCCAGTTTTTTTCAGGGGCAAAACTTATTAGAATGTTTGAAACGGAAACCCCTCCCCCCCTTTTGACGTCATTTTCAAGGCCTCATTTGTTTGAACATTCCGTGTAAAACTTACGATAAAATTTCGTAGAACTTCAAGAAAGAAGTGAAAATTTCATATTTTGTGGAACAATTGTGTCCCGACACATACCAGAATTAACGGGATTTTTGGATGTCAAATGTTCATATCAAAAGAGTTTGTCTCAGTCACACATTGGTAGCAAAAACATCGTGTTCGAGGTCGCGCCGCCTGAACATACCATTGCTTACAAAAACATTACTTATTTATTAAAAAATAAAATTCATGATTTGTGATTTATTCTGTAGATAGAAAAGATAGAAAGATATTTTAAAATTCATTGATGTGCCTAAAGCGGTTTTAATTTTACGACGCTAGTCCACGAACTTTTTGATAACCCCTCAAATTTTTAAACAATATGTAGAGAAATTACATCTGTATCCCGGTTGCTTTTAATTTCAGGCACAGAATGGACAGAATTTTCAATGAAGGACAATATAATCAAAGTAACAACATTGGTAATACATTTATGCACTTGGTTTTTTTTTTTACACTTTAAAACACTTGGTTTTGAATTCCTTTTAGTATAATTTGAAACCACCTCGCAGTTCAAGATTTTTTTTCTTTGTCTACAATAGTACCCAAGCACTGGTGTATGGAAAATGACCATGGTCGTGGGTAAAAAAATATCTGTCAATGTCACTGCACAAAGCCAATTAGATTTCGATGTAGTTCTGCTAGAGGCATCTGAAGACGGAATCAATTATCAGATTTCTGGAAGTCCAATATCAGGTTTGTAAATATGAATGAAATATTCAGAATTCCTATAACTTTTGTTTCGTACTACATGTACTATAACTTTAAAAATGGCTTTGAAACGAAATCTTTGAAAGATTCAAACTTTCAATATAATTATTCTAAACCGAAAATATGAGTACATGTAGTGGAATCCAGGTTTGCAACTCTTCTATGCAAGATAAAGCAATTTGTATCCTTTTTTCAATGGAATATATATCTGCAAGGTAAAAGGTGATGAAGAAGTAATGAAAAGGAATACATATATATCATTAATCTTTTTTTTTTAGAATATGCACTTATAATTAGCAATGTCATAGTTTGCATTTTCATTTTAGGCCATAAATATACGATTGCACTCGACGTACAGAATTTACGTGGCAATTCGACGTGTGATTCAGTTCTCTTACTTAATGAGAATGGATCACAGATTATTCACCTAGATGTACAAGGTGTGAAAACAGAGGACATTTGGCGGTTTTTTGCTTCATTCAGTATGGCTTTAACGCCGGTAAGCAAAAATAAGTAAGGATTATGTGGAAAAGACATTCTTGATCAGGATTAAATGGGTACAAAGTACAAAGTCATAAAAGAGAAAAAAAATGAATGATACAGATTTTTTTTTATTTTTCATTTTTACAGATATACTCTGTGCTGATTACAGGCCGAGATTCTATAGGAAATAAATTTATGCGAACAAAACCTTTCATTGTAAAGCCTGTTGGAATAAAACTAGATGTGAATCCTTTTATAGGTGTTGTAACAATACGTTTTATACAATCTTACTGCTTTTTCTTATGTTGATGATGTTAATTTGGTAGCATATAAATTATGAAGGAATATTTTTCATTATTTTTATGGATAGTTAAACAATGAATTTTCAAGTTTTATATGAATAGAAAATTGAAAAAAAATATTTATTTACTATATTTTTCAGTCAATTTCAAACTATTCACTGATTTAGTATATAATTCAATCACAATAAGTGTATAGAAGGAAACTTTCGGAACCCAAGTTGAAACATTGATCTTTATTTATTAAAAGACTCAACATTAATATTTAACATTAAAACACAAACTACTATACATCATTACATGTATTGTATTTGTTTTGTTTTGTCTTTGAGCAGGGGAGTTATCATTGAATGCCTCAGACACATTTTTCTATACCGTTTTTAATTATGGTGAATCTACTTCTGACATTTTGGTCACGATATCTGATGATCAAGGTTCCCTTTTGGATCCAGTATCAATACCTTTTGCATTAGAGTCGGGAGAATATGGAAATGGCAGTTTCACAGTTCGGGCGAATAAATATCCCAGCATTATGTATGTTATTGCTTTACAGACTTCAGATGCTTCTCTTTAAATACAAAATGATAAGACTGTAACTAAAACATTTGTTTGCATTTTTAGCAAGATAAAAGTCACAGTTACAGATAATCGCACCAATGAAATGCTTCAGACCTATACAAGATCCTACTCTGTAAGTTCGTGTTTTGACCAATTTAAGACAAAAAGTAAATGACACTTTAAAATGAATTAAGGTATCCGATCCATATTAGCCTCAGATTAAATGTAATTGAATGCATAATAGATATGTATGGGCTGAATACTAAGTGTAGTTAGAACTAATTTTCATCTTTTAGTATCAGAATGTAAGAGTGGGACATGTCCTAATTTATGACCTTTTCCTGCCATTGACAAGTTATTTCCCTTTGATTTTACTCAATAAAAATTAATTTTAAAAAAATCTGTCTGTTAAAAAAATTATTTCTAATTGTTTTTCTATTTCCTATGATCAAATACATCTTTCCACCGCAGCATATTTTGACATTTGAAGTATTTATTTTTTTACCTTAAAAAACTTACTTCCTCCCATAGACTTCAATGCAATCTTTAATAATTAATTTCTGCTTAGGTAATAATTTTTTTGAAATTTTCTCTTGGTTAATCCCTTTCTATTCTTAAATGCTTTAAAATAATATCAGGATATTTTCAAACAATTAATATTTAAGGTTAGAAATTTTGGTCCTAATATGGGTCGGATACCTTAATAAAATTGAGGCTGAACCAGCACCGAACATCTCTAGAGGTCATTCTTTTCGTAAAATGTGCTAAGTAGACAATTTCTCGGCAGTATTCTAACCCTTTTACACTGCAGACTACACTTCACTTACGATGTAGTTTTGTAGAAGATATTAAATGTGCATGGACATAGATCTGTGTCTATGCACCTTTAAATAAAAATTAATTTGAAAAATTATAAATATGATTTTTTTATGTATATTATGATAAAGATTTTTATTGAATTGAGTGACACTATTTTTTTTTTACATGTGCTTTAGCTGAATCCATTGATTTTGTCCAAAATGTCATATAATAGACAACTCTCAGTATAATCATCCATTAAGTAACATTTCCGAATATCTACATTCGCTGTGTTTTTCTACTAAGTCAACTGTGAAAGAAATTTGAAAACCATTTTCGTGTATACACACGCGTAGAAATACACACGGAGAAACGTGCGTTAAGGTGACGCCACAATGAGTCTGCAGCGACGTTAGTAAAATGCAACGATATAGGTCAGCGATGAATTTAAATATTGAGAATATTTTTGTTGCTCCCAATCATGTAAAATGTAAATATAAGGAATGTTTTAAAGTTTAGTGTGAATTATTGGTGTGTGAATCACACAGAATTGCACCAGGCATATTTTTCATGAAGCCCTAGCTCGCTAATGAAATATACCTACGTGACAAGTCTGTGTGATTCACACACGAATAACTCACACCAAACTTAAAAACATTCCTTAATTGTTTTTAAAGCATATGCGTTTGAATTATGTCATATCCATACAGGTTTCAGATATAAATAGACCGATGTGTACCTCACTGGAATCGAAATCACCTCTCTGTCCACCGGAGGCCATGAATACTATTAACTGTTCTCTCTACGACTGGAATGTTACATCTTTATTGGATTTTTCTGGCGTAAAGCTATCGAGTATTGACGTGTCAAATAAGGAGGTAAATATTGTCCATAAGGACGTCACTGAAGTTGAAAGGGGGCCCATCAATGTCATATTAAGGTAAGCACTAAATAAGATAAGAACATATAATAAAAAAATTAGCATGTCACCGAAAAGTACGATAAGAACGATGTGAAAATCATTTACCTTGCAAACAATATTTAATTAAGATAATGACTTAAAAGAGTGATAAATATTTCTTATTACCTAACGCATTTCAAAGATATTGGCCGTGCAATAAAATTTCAATATATATATATATATATATATATATATATATATATATATATATATATATATATATATATATATATATATATATATATATATGCTCTGTTGCAACACACTTTGAAAAAATTACGCACTTTGAAAAAAAAAATAACGCACTTTGAAAAAAAATTCGAAGTAGGTTAAAATTGGGACAAAATCAACGCAGTTTGAATTTTTTTTTCAAAGTGCGTTAAATTTTGGACACAGTCAACGCACCTTGAAAAAAAAATCAAAGTGCATTGATAATGCACATCAACATTTTTTACCATAATTGTATGAAACAAAAATTTAAGGATTGCAAATTAAATTTGCCCCAACAAAAATTAAAACCTAACTTTTAATATTATATATACATAAATTTGCATAACAGTTGTGTTCCTAATGAATCCCCCTCCCTCCAGGTACCGAGGCGTATGCTACACCCAAATATATGTATTTGCATAACTAATATATATATAATACTTTCAATAAGTTTTAGTTTACATAAAATGCATGGAAACTGGAAAAAATTAAGTACAAAAACATTTAACAGAGAAATAATTATCAACGTATAGAAAACTCAAAATCGCTCCCTTTCACATCCTGGAGTGACCTTACCACCGAAAAGTTGTCCAACAGGTTAAATTATTTATCAAACCTAAGTTTTGCAAGAATATCGACCATACACATTTTTTCAAAGTGCGTTAATATGGTCGATATTAACGCACTTTGTAAAAACAATTATTTATTTTCAAAGTGCGTTAATTTGGTTCCAGAATTAACGCACTTTGAAAAAAATTTCAAGCGAGTAATTTTTCAAAGTACGTTGTTGCAATGCTCTCGTGATTTCGTATTTGCATTTAATTTATATTAATGCCTAATTTAAGTGGTCAATGCTGTTACGAAAAGGTAGTCTTAAGTGCGACTGACGAGAATGGATTTACTGCTAGATGTGTTCATGTGTTGTCTAACAAACCAATGGCAGATGTGGAAGAGGTCACAAGACAAGATACACCTAGCGGGGTAAGAAACAACATATAATTCGTTCTAAATATGTAGATAGAAACTGTATTCGAGGTAGAAAGTTTATTAAAACATTACAAATCGGGAGCACAGCAAACGCAGATGTTTAAAACATCAGAGCTGGGATATAGTGCCTTAAATGAGTAAGCATCATCTGTTGACCTATCACAATCACGATATGCTCATTGTCAAGATTATGAAAAACAGAAAAATCTGTAATCAATTAAATGTGTGAAAAAAAAATGGTCTAGCATTTGTTGTTCAATCTTCTATGGAAAACTTTTAATCTTATAAATTAGTATGCGATATAACTTCTTTATCACAAACACACCGAAGGTGTCTCTACAAAGATGTGAGAAATATCATCCAGACGATGTATATGTATTTGGAAATGGAATTGATTATACATCTTTTAAATGATTGTTTTGAGTGATTTTATAATTTTAAAGTAAGTTTATGTTAATTGTTATTTAAACAGAAGATTGACTATCACTTTAATGAATAGAATTCGAAAATCGTGACATCCAGAAGGAGTCAATCATGTTTCACAAAAATCACAATAGCCTAGTGATTAGCCGTTCGGTTTGCAATGTACATGTAATGTGAACCCCCCCCCCCCCCCCCCTCCCCCGACTAATATATGGCGACATGCCTTTTTGAGTGTATGAATCCTTGAGGTGAATAATAAATACATGCAATCACTTAAACCCCATTCATACGACGTGATTTGTATACCTTTAAGTTAGTGTATTTTACACATCACATACGTAATTTGTGTCGTATTAACTGATTTACTCATATGTAAATACTGCACAGTTGAGTAAATTTACACCTGGTCAGGACTAGTTGCAAATCAACTTTTGCATACACTTTGTAGCAAATTATTGGTTCATGTGTGTAAATTTTGTTGTATGAACACACAGCAAATTTACTTATGTATGTATTTTGTTTTGTTTATTGCATAAATCTCCATTTTAAGTTTTGTTTGGTTGTGTATGCATTGGCCTATAAAATATTAGTTGGTAAACATGGTGGCTAGAAGACAAAACTCTAAACAAGGAGCCATTATTGATATCTCCTCCGAGATAAATTTTCGTATCTAAAAAAACGAGGGCATCTTGCAACGTTTCTGGCAAACCTATTTTTATGTCTCTAAAGATATAACTGTGGTCGCAAGCAAGAGCCATGTAGGATCAATAAGTAGTGTCCTTACTATACGAGTTGTCTCCTTTGGAATGCTCCGGGGCTATGATAGGAACATGCATTCCATCATTTAGCTCTTGATGACTTTCTTTCACCTTTCTGTCAGGCAAGCTACTCACATATAAGCTAATGTTTCTGGAATTTCAATAAACTTGTTGAAAGTAAGCATTTGTAAGTATCCTCCTTGGCATCTGATCCCAGCATGAATGTTCAGGGCTTCGTGTTAATTTCCTATTCTCATATTTGTATTGTTCAAAGATTTTTGAGATCAATCATTGTTAGTTTTCTTCATCTTTTTCATTCTTACTGAAAATACATATTTACATGACTAACGTTTTTCATGCTATAATTGTTAGTCAATTGTGTATACATGTATACTGAATTGACGACGGATTTGTCCGTTATTTCCCGATCACGACAATGAGCACACGGCGGATGTTACGGGTCAGCAGGGAATGCTCACTCCTTCATGGCACCTGATCCCACCTCTGATATTTTGGATGCCCGTGTTTGCTCTGGTTCTTTTTTTTTTTAGTGTTTTATTGACCTTGATATTGAATACTGTTTATTATCTCCATATCCTTCATGTATCATATTCAAGCAGATATTTTATATAGCCCCACACACTTGATTTACTGTAGATTTCCCAACACCAAAAAGATTCAAATCCTCTTATTTCTGCTGAAGACTTCAATCAGTAGATTGCAACAGTCACTTTTTCTTTACACCCAATGGCTCTTCTACAGACTTAAGGACCGAGGCCAAAACATTTTCCAACATAAAACAAAAATTTTAATAAATTTTCCTTCTTCATGTGTAAATTCTTATACCATTCTTTGTCCTTGGAATCATAAAGGTCCTTTTCTTTCGTATCATTAAATTAGTGGATCGGATTTCCACCCTGGTCTTTAAGGAACATTCAAAAGTTAGTCTTTTAGTCAAACAGTAAGGAAATAAACTTATTCTATAAAAATTTACAATTCTTCATCCGTCTTTTCCTTATTTTTTATGAAAATATGAGGATTTACTAGCAGTAAATAAATCTCGTCTGAACGCATGACAAATTAACTTTTACTAACTTTTACTGTGTATTAGACATTAATATTGGTGTTCATGGATATTTTAGAAATATTTAGATTTTTTAGAATGGTCCACATATATATATTTCTATATTGTCACTCAGGCATGTTAAGGATAAACACAGATATTCTAACTTGATAAGATCGCGACATTAAACAATGATCAGTCAGTGAGCGATTGCTCCGTGATCGGTAGGTCGTTTGTTCCTCAGCCTTCATTAACCTAATGATACTTTCTGTTTGCTGACAATGTCATGTATCGCTCATATTAACAAGACAGATCATATGTTTGTTTCACCAACTTGTTTTTCTATAATATTTTCTCCTAAAAAACTGTTCATTTGATCGCAACGCTAGTGTTTGATGAATAAAAACCTATTATGCAGTTGATATGTAAATATTGCAGCATAATGAACGGAAGTTTGCGATTGAAAATTAAAGTCTTCACATCTATCATAAAGCATTTTAGTTAGGTTAAATTAACCATACGTTTGTTTCCCTAGTTAAATATCAAAGCACGAAAAAGATGTGTTTGGAACTCTGAAGTTTCTTTTTTTCAAACTCATTTGGATATGTCTTTTCAGCATATAATCGGAAATAATTATTGATAATGCGTCGTCAATATTTTTCTAAATGTCGATTCAAAACAAACCTTATGTGAACGAAAGTTGATATGTGTATTGAATCTTTGTTTTTAAAATTGTAGCAATCCAAAAACTGGGCTTGGATTATTACCTTCAGCATCCTAGCAGTAGTCTGTGTAATAATACTTTTCACAGTCATTGCTGTAGTCTATAAGAGAAATGCATATAAGAAGCGAGAAGATTTTACCGGGAAGGTGGAAGGTCAACATAATCTGGGGTTCTTTTCTTAAAGTAAATCTCAAATGTAGTCCAATGAATCTGTAATATGAAAGTGGCTGTTTTGAAATACTTTAACTCTTGTATTTAAAGTAACTTTGCTTCAAATATAGCCTTTTTAAACAAAAGAATAAGATTATCAAAAAATTGCATAAAATAATGTCCACAGGTTGCTATTCCCTGTATCTTAAATCATATATATGGATTTGATGTTTGTAAGGAATTTATTAATTTTAAACACATATTATACGTTATTTTATCATTTATTTAAAATGCATATACGAAGATTATTAATATTCTTGAATATAAGATTTCTGATTTGCATGCTTGTATACATTTTCTGCGTTTATATTCATGAATGACAGGGTTCTTTCTTTCATTAAATATTCTTACCACAAACGTTTTTTAATTTGTTATTATTCGCTTGGTTTGATTTAGTTAAGTAGTTATCAGCACGTTTAACAATTAAAGTCTCGGAAAGAATTCTTTATATGGACCTAAGCAATCCCCATGAGCGATACTATATTACTTTATGTAAATATATCAGGGCGGCAATGCTTACATTTTTATATTAAAAAAATGCCTTATATATAGGGAAATAAGTACCCTGTCCTGATATAAATATATAATGTAACACACAAATGTATCGGACGAGCAGAAAAACAGTACCTTTTAATATAAGAGCCATAGACTGTAAACACTTAACTTCGTTGACTTGGTCACCGATTTTTATGAAACTTCACCCATTCTTAGTACTTGACACCAGAAACTTATATCAAATAATTTTTGTTGCTATGTGTCTCGGTTTCCCTGATGGTAACTGCCGGAAAAATGTAAAAAAAAAAAAAAAAAAAAAAAAGAAGAAGATATTTTCAGCTACTTTAAATCGTTACTGAGCCTTAATAAAAACTAGGAAAAGCAAACAAACCATTCTCACAAAAACATAACATCTTGTTGTTACTTACACTGTAAAGAAACTGTTTAGTAGTAACCAAGGGTACATTTGGAATACATTTAAAATGCCGCAATACGCTCTGTTTTCACTAATTGTAGTTGTTAGATGCTCAAGCTCAATCAACAAGTTAAGAAAAAAATTGAAAATGTTTGACCTTAAGTATATCGGTATAAGCAATATTTTATAAATCACTTTTATAGTTACCATGGTAACACAGTTATCAAGTAAAATCAGTAACATATATTGTGTTAATCCTACTGTCTTGACAAAAAAGGTTTAGAACCTTGCAACTACAACAACATAAACATAGGATTTATTGCTTATTTACGGTGTTACCAGGGAAACAACGTACCAGTTGTTAAAAGTGAAATTTAGATTTTACTTGCTATTAAACCGAGAAACATATTTTACGATTCTCTTTGAATAGTATTATAATGCAATTGTTTTGTAAAACACTTTTTGATTGGCTTTTGATTGGCTAGTTCACTGATGTTTGAAGCAGTAAAACGAGCATTAACGAGCGTGAAAGCTTTTTCATTGAGACGTCATAATAGAGCGATGCAAAACACAATGCTCCGTGACGAATTTCATGTACCAAAATTCATCAAAATAAGACGTAAACAACAAACAAAATGCATGAATTGCATTAGAATGGGAATAACTGTTCTTTTGGTATTTGCGACCGTTAATGCTGATTTAACGGTCGCAAACATCCGTTTTACTGGCTCCGCTTACGCGTCGCCGGTAAAACTCAGTTTGCGACCGAAGTATTGCGCAAATACCAAATTAGAAGATAGTTATTCCCTAAATTATCTAGTAAAACTAAAGTTGAACAACATTGTTGCTATGGTTACCAAGAAAGGAAATGTTCGATTTTTTAAATAATTAATCTTAAACTCTGAGTGCCAGCTTCTTGCATCCAGTTAGAGATTGGATGATACTGTGGTTTCATCAATTTTCGTTGGCATCAATTTTCGTGGATTTTGTAAAACAGACGTTTTCGAGGACACGTAATTTCGTGGACAAAAGCATTGCCAATACAAATGAATGTTATATTTCGTATTTCAATGAACATTTCAAATCGTGGATCTGCTCAACAACGAAATCCACGAAAATTGGTGCTCAACGAATATTGATGAAACCACAGTAGTCAAAATAAAAAAATATGGGGATCTACATTTAAGGGTAAGTATCCAAGAAAAAATGTTTTTCTAAAGCATGCATTTTCTGCCATTATGATTGCAACGCTCTATTTTAAGAATTTAATTTGATTTTTTAAGAACGGAAAATTTGGAAAACACCAACACCTTTCAATATTGATCATCAGTTATAAGGAAATGTGCTTTATTAAAAGATACGATCAGATTTAAACATACAGAGTGTAAAGAGTTTGAAGGCTCTCTGTGGTGTAAAAACCTTGGTAACATTCCCCAACCAAAATGAAATACAACATATATCATAATTTGTTCTTGGTATATGTTCTAGGCTCTTTTCTGTATTATTTGGTCATATTTCGTCTTATAAATGGTTTTTCTTTTTACGTGTTTGACTTTATAAAATTAAATGAATATTTTTTAACTTGTGAATACTTTGTTACCTTAGTAACGTTTATAATAGTTGATTGACCCAAAATGCATTCAAGACATCAGGCCTTCAACGAAACAATCATTGTCAATTGTTTGCTTTGCCGCAAATGTTAACAATGGTAAAAAATGTTGAAAAAAAACGTGTTTAAAAATGCCGTTTTTTTTTCAAACTTTAATACATGTTGCCATGGTAACTATAATACATAGCAACAAAGTTTTGTTTTGCCTAATTTTAGTTAAGGATATCAAAAACTTTAATCATAGGGAGATTGGAGAAATTATGAGACTATGAAATTATGCGTGCCGAAGCTCCTACATTAAATTTCAAGTAATTATAAAAAAAATGGCTCTCAATTTGAGGTATAAACAAATTTAAAACTATTTATTTATAGGTTCATAGACGCAGATTTGAATTTAATATTTTATCACACTTTCTGTATAATATCACGACTAAAATATTAGTATATATGATATAATAATAGGTTGATATGATATAACAATAGGTTGCAAAAGCAGTATTTATCACTTGGAGTGTTGGTGACAACGTATCTATTAATCATGACGTAATTTGCCCTGTAGTTAATGCATTATGACGTCAAAAAATGCATCATTTTCCTCATATCCTGTAAATTCCTTTGAAAATGGTCTAAAGCTGAAGTATTTTTTCAATATATCATATAGAGCACAACCTGTGATCCAAAATATGCAAATACATGATAAAAGATCTGTTCCTTTCTGAAGATCAATGAAATTGTTTTATTTTTTGGATCGTGGGCTGTGCTCATATTTTACTTCTTTGCTGAAGGTAGTTGAATGCGCATGTTTTCTGCGTATTTCAAGAACATTGCAATTTTTCAAATTTAAGCCTGTTTTCCAATTTCTGAATTCTCAAAAAGAAATTTTATCATAGGAAATGAAAGGTCCAAGTCTCTACTTTATTTTGATATATGAAATTGGAAAGATGCTGATATTTAATACAGGGCCATTTTATGCATAAAGTTAACCTAGCTCTTTCTGGACAGGTTTGATTGAAACGTCCTTGCACTTTCACCAATTATAATTTTATTCTTAATATTTAAGAAAATTTGCAAGGTTGTGTACTAATGAAATTATAATCAATAATAAAGAAAATTAAAAGTAGAAATGCTCGAAAGTAAAACCACCCCACTATAGCATTGTCAATCCGTTCTCAGTGTGAGCTCTGTTATTGTTAATGTTTACGATTCACCGGCCGATGTGTTCAGTTATTAAAGTTTGTACACTCAACAGCATGGGCTAACATTAAAAAAAAACTTTTAACTTGGTAATATCATTTGAACAGTTAGTACGGGGGGTTTATTTAGTTTCTTCAATTGATATTTCACTGGAAGGATTTTATGAAGGAATCTATGCTGTAACCATTGAGCAGAAGAATCCATAGTTCTACACGTAAAATAAACCATACAAACATCTTAACAGATTCTTAAAACACTGACAGTTCCTGGTTCCATCTAAATGTTGATGTAGAAGTGACATGATTACTAATCAAACATCTGTAAATAATTTTGTGCACTTCACGTATACATTTATTTAAATATTTTCAAAAAAAAAAATGGAGGGTGTCTCTTAACACAGAATTTGTCTATAGACATTGTTTTTAAATACCTGGATATACTATATATAACACAGATAAATACTGTCCTATAGTATAATGCAAACATTTGACAAATGAAATCAATTTAATGCTCATGAAGTCATTCAGAAATGTTTTGGTATTTGAACATTATAGTTAAAGCTGAACATAATTCGTAAAAGGAATGTGTCCGCCATTTTTGTTCGAAGAATCGCTATACCTGCAGACCCCTATAAAGAGGGCAGGACTTTGTCACTGTTCAGTGTAATCAGTAGACACCAGTGTAGACGGACATATGCTATACAACAATCAGTAGCGACAATAATAACGTATTACTTCGTCTAATGCAGGAAAGAAAGATACCAAAGGAACTTACAGTTATAGATGTACAGGTCAGTGCAATATACAAACAAAGAAAGATACCCGTTACTGCAATAAAATGTAAACAAAGTTAATGCAAGACAACCATCACGAACACAGGTCGCCATTTTACGCCCATTACGGTGACAATAAAGCAGTCTATTGTGACGATTCTGAAGAGTATACCCTGTTGTTGATGTATCGTAATGATATCGAAATGGCATATACCTATTTACGAGTCCTGTTCGCTTAATATTAATAATCAGTTTGGAAGTTGTGTAATCCCATTCAGGTTTCCAGAATATGAAAGGTTGATTAAATTTTTATTTAACATTTCCAAACAATATTTGTTCCCGAAAGATTCAGGTGAACCATTAAGGGCAAGCCAGGTATCACCTGAATATTGAGTTATACATGTTTTGTCTCGTTGGTTACAATTATCTAAAGCTCTAATTTTGTTTAATCAAAATTGCAGGTATTTCTGCACAAAGAAATTGTATATTATGGCCGAACAATTAGTATGAAAAACGTCAGTCATCATTTTGACTTTATGATAAAAAATGTATATGCTGTCAAGATCATTTTATCGACCATACAACTCTCTTGTTTTCAGCATTTTGTCAATAGTTTAATTCGTTTTAAAAATTGTTCATATGTAATTAAATGCATGCTCTTGCATATCGAATCAACTGAGAGAATAAAACCCGGGATGCAAGAGGCGAAGGTTTGACGTATAAGTAAGGGAAGTTGATGATTGTAAAGATAACGTCATCTTTTTATCATAAATCTTTGTTGTTCAATAACCATTGAAGTCTTTTTTTCCTTGTAAAATATACAAAAATTAAATAGATACGTCTCAATAATATTTTTTTATTTCAAGATCAGCGAGATATATAGTGTCGACATAAAAATTGAAATTACTTGTTATATTGACAATACGTCGCCGATGTTTTTAAATTTCGAGTTGAAGGCCACTACAAGTGTTTTCGTCTTTTTACGTAAAAGACTTTGAACAAATTTTACCTCGTATGAATATGGAAATAGGTCTGCTAATTGGTACCCATGAGAATTTCAATCGATATGATGCGGCGGATCTCCCTGTCGACATCTTCTTTCAATATATTCGTATTCTACAACTAATACGTATACAACTTAATATAAGTTTATAAAACACACTTAAAAGTGTAAAAGGACGCCAATTTTTCAGAAAATATTTGGGCTTGTCACCTTTTTGAATGCATATTAGTATCGTTCTTCTTGAGAAATATGGAGTTTTTTCAGAAATATACTATTTATGAAAGGTACAACAGAATGTTTTGAATCAGACCAAAATGTCTAAAAATGCAGCAGAAACCTTCACTGGTGACTTATTGTTTTTAACACCTGTAGAACTTCACTTTCCAAGATATTTCCCTCAAGTGATTTGGTAAGATTTCAGTAACTGTAATTATTTTTTCCAGTTCTATATCGAGAAGTTGATAGTGATTTGAGATGCTTTTTTAATTATAACCCCGGTTAAAAAATCGGAAGATATACTCGTATATATAAGATATATAGTGATCGGGATGTTGCACTTGGGGGTTCATGTACTCATCTCTTATCCACAAATCTTCTCATACCAGATACTTAATGAGCCTTTCAAAAAATCTCTGTTCATATATAATGCTATTATGCACCTCCTCTTTTACTTTTGGATAGGACATATATTTTAGGTTCCCCATAGCAAAACATGTACACTGTCATTCTTTCTACATGTATAATATTGAAGGGTAGAAATCTCTTATCTGCAACTCCTCCTTTACTGCAAAATAGAATTGAATGATACTTTCGCATTTTCTTTATTTCATAATGCCATTGTGCACCTTCTATTTTACCTTTTTGATCTGAGAATTATTTCGGGTATTTCGAGCAAAACATTTCTTTGCCATTGTAATGATATTGGAGGCGAGGGTATCATTTAGTCAGCTCAGTGCTCAAGGTACGTCTAGTTCTTTTTAAAATTTCTGACTGATTGTTAGAATATTAAGTCGTTTCTTCTGCTTTGATAAATTCTGGGTGAGGGAGGGGCCGTGGGCCTAATCAACCCTACACACAGGAAGTGATTCGATACACATTTAAATACCCCCAGATGTCAAAACCTGTGTTGGGGAAATTAGAGACAATTTTTAATTAGAAGTAAAAAGTTCTCAATGATTCAAATTTCATCTCAATTATCTATAACCGCCGAAATATGGCTGAAATATTGCCGATTTTGCGTAAAAAATATATTTTAACCCCCTTCCCCGCAGTCACGCATTTTAACGCATATACCATTTCCTATTTCTAACGCAAAATCACGCATATACCGTTTCCCCGCAATCACGCATTTTCACGCACTTTAAAAAGTTCATTTAATCTTCAATTTATTGCCGAATTCCTTCTATTTTATACTTACTTAAATCTAATAAGATATCAAAAGGACCGGTGTCCACGTCCCATAGTGGGATTGACTCCTTACTTCGCGACTCAGGAGCAGACGCTCTAACAACTGCGCCACACGGGCGACCCTACATTGTTGAAAATCAGTACTGCAGCCAATCATGTCAGGGAGAGATGATTTTTCAATTATATAATAATCCACTTTATGCATATCAAACTTAATACAGAAATATCAATTGAAAGAAAAGTTATTATTCCAAAGGCTGATTCTTGAATATTTTCATTAAGAATATTATATTGATCCCTTCAACTACTAAAGATATTTTACATTACATTATCAAGCTTAAAATTTTCTCAAGCTAAAAAGTATACCACGAGCGGTACCTATCAAAGATCAAAAGTTGGTTTGAAGATCACCAAAAGTGCATAAGAAGGTGTACAGGGTAAACAGAGAGACTACAAAGTCAAATTAGTCAAATTCTAGCATTCAATGAAGGACCTTAATGCATTTGAATGACAGGGCTACTCAGACCAGGTATTTTTGAAAGCGGCTTTAAAATTTTAACCTTTAAATAATTACGAGATTCTTGTTTACAAATTTCTCAATCTTCACCCCATCTGGCTCCTGACCTTAAAACATGATCTTGCAGCTTTTCTTTTCTCAAATTTTCAAAATCTGTTTTCTTTCTCTTGTAATTATTGTAGATTCTATATTTTCTTCGCCTCTTAATTCTCTATTTGTGCAATTAACATTAAGCTTCTTATTTATTTTTCTCACTTCCTTTCTATATAAGGGATATGAGCTTGTAATTCCTGTAATATCAATTTTTCCTTTTTAATAATAATGTAATGGTTTTGGATGTAGGACCTCTCAAAATAACTGCGTTAAGATCGTAATATTTTCAACTTTATTGACATTATCAGTTTTGACGTGTCTAGCAAGACTAGTTATAGGAAGGAGAACAAAAACAAGAAAATAATTTTGTTTTCGAGTTTCAATATTCTTGCACTGTAATGAAAAATGACTTTCTAGAAAGCTAGATCAACACATTTAAGAATATATTTTATTATTTCTTTATTTTTGTATGAAATTATTTTTTTTTCAATAATACATCTACATTTTGTATAATCATCTAGTATTCTGAATATGGAATAATAAAAGTGCATTCGAATTTCAAATAAACAATATATCTAATATATATATATATATATTTATTTATTTTTGTCTGCTGCATCAAGTCATTCTTGTAGCACTCATAAATCTTTAGCAGAGATTTTTACTTCAAATGAGAATATATGTTCATACTCCTATGCGTCTCGTTGCATTGTAACAGCTGTTTCATTATCCAAACCGTGCATACTAACTTTGGAGTTAAAACGTTTTGGTCTGAAATGTATCAAAGATCACTGACAATTTTAATAGTCTAAAGATAGGATGAAATTCATTAATATATATATACATTTAATACATGTATTTGATACTTTACCTTGCACTTTTGTATTTCCAAAGTATTAGACCGGAAACCAAAATAATAGCAACAGCTCCGCCAATTACAATCCCAGTAATAGCACCGGTACCCAAACCGGAAGTTGTTTCTGATTTTAACACAACTCTACATTCTGAAATCATGTTTTTAACTGTTATTCATTTTCGACTCGAAATGTTCCTGTGACCTAAATATCTCGGGAACATCCACGTTTAATTATTTTCATAATTTATAAGGAAAATTGTAGCTTCCTTACGTGCAAAATCACCACATAAAGTAGTTTAATGTCGAAAAGTAGTTTCGAACAAGAGGCCCATGGGCCACATCGCACACCTTAGTAATTTGGTTGATGCAGTTCTTTACCAGATTTTCCCTCTTTTTATACTTATTTTGGCCCCCTACCCTGTTATGATTTTAATACTTTAGAATCTACACTACCCCAGGATCCTTCCACATAAGTTTCAGCTTTCATGACCCAGTGGTTTTTGAAAAGAAGGTTTTAAATGATTTTCTTTATACATTTCTATGTAAAACATGGATTCCCTATTGTGGCTCCGACCTATCCCCCGGGGTCATGATTTTAACAATTGAAAATTAAGTAAAACACTACCTCAGGATATTTTCATACATATATAAGTGTCAGCTCCTCTAGCCCGGAGGTTTTTGAGAAGAAGATTTTTAAAGCTTTTATATATATATATATATATATATATATATATATATATATATATATATATATATATATATATATATATATATATATATATATCTATGTAAAACGGATTCCCTATTGTGGCCCCGCCTAGGGGGTCATGATTTTAACAATTTAGAATTCCCAGGGTGCTACCACATAAGTTTCATATTTCCTGGTCCAATGGTTTTTGGAAAGAACATTTTTTAAGTTCCACCCTATTTTTGTCTTTTCTTGATTATCTCCCCTTGTACGGGGAATTGGCCCTTCATTTTTATAATTTAAAACCCGCCTCTACCCAATGATGCTTCGTACCAAACTTGGTTAGAATTGGCCCAGTTGTTCTGAAATGAAGTCAAAAATGTGAGAAGGTAACGTACGGACGGACGCACTGACGGACTACGGACAAAAGGTGATCAGAAAAACTCACTTGAGCCTTTGGCTCAGGTTTGTTAAAAGTACTCAAAAAAAAAATACTCAGTACATGCACACATACATTTAAAAATTAAATTTTCAAAGCATCACCACTTACAATTTTCTTTGACGTGTGATATAGTAGACGAGTAGTAGAGTAAAAATCCATTTATATCTGTTAATTACCTGGATCAGCTCTGCTTGACCACTCCGTTAAGGATTTTCCAGGTAAACACACTCGACAAACGTCAAAGGAAGACACTGTTCCTTCAAGATATGGATCACCGTCGATAAAGCAAAATCCTGACTATGAAAAAAAAAAATTCATATGACAATTAATTCCTTCATTTTTAGTTCCACACTTATCATTAGTAATCTTATTCCATCAAGGGCAACTGAAAACATAGTCCAACGGTTATCCACGTCAAAGGTCCCCTTTTTCTTGACTTTTTTTCTTTAAAATACTTAAACAGGTGTTTAGACAAGAAAAACTATAAAACAAAGTGAGATATCTTACACGTACTTTTTTTTCACCAGATATGACAGAAATTCTATCTAGATCATCACAATAATGAAATCTGAGTTTTAATTAAGATGGCTAAATTTAAATGTTTTTTGAATCACTGCAATTTGACGGACAGACCAATTAAGTACACAATATATTAAGTGCAGTAAAGTTTTATGAAATAATTTATACCATAATACAGGACAGGCTTGATTAATTTTTTATTAAAAAATACTCTGAATCCACGAAGTTATGAAAATGTATCCACAGTATTTCTTTAAAATAAAAAAAAATCAAATTAAATCATATTATATAGGGAAAATTATCAAATCATTAATATTTTTGCAGAAAAAGCTAATTGGAATATCAGCAATGCATTCTTTTAAGTGCAAATTCCTCAACAAATATATTTTAAGTTAAAAAACGATAGGTATCCAGGCATTCAGAGAAATTGTTATGATTTTATACTTATTTGATATATTTTGTCCTCTATTTCCGTCATGCATTCTATACTTTTACATAGTATAGAAAGCCATAACTATCATTAATAGAGGCCCAGGGGCCACATCGCTCAACTGAACAATTGGCTAGGAAAATCACATTTCAGATCAGAACTGAAAGTTTATTGAGGGGGGGGGGGTGTTAAATTTTAACCTCCCAGGGGGTTATGATTTGAACAAACTTGAATCTACACTACCTGAGGATGATCCCACATAAGTTTCATCTTTCCTGGCCCAGTGGTTCTTGAGAAGAAGATTTTTAAAGATTTTTCCAATATATCCCTATGTAAAACTTTGACCGGCCATTTTTGCCCCACCCTACCCCCGGGGTCATGATTTGAACAAACTTGAATCTACACTACATCTACACTACCTGAGAATGATTCCACATGAGTGTCATCTTTCCTGGCCCAATGGTTCTTGAGGAGAAGATTTTAAAAGATTTTCCCTATATATTCCTATGTAAAACTTTGATCAGTTATTTTGGCCCCACCTACCCCCGGGGGTCGTGATTTGAACAAACTTGAATGTACACTACCTGAGGATTATTCCACATGAGTTTCATCTTTCCTGGCCCAGTGGTTCTTCAGAAGATGATTTTTAATGATTTTCCTTAATATTCCTATGTAAAACTTTGATAGGCCATTTTGGCCCCACCTTACCCCCAGGGGTCATGATTTAAACAAAATTGAATCTACGCTACCCGAGGATAATTCCACATAAGTTTCATCTTTCCCGGTCCAGTGGTTTATGGGAAGAAGATTTTTAAAGATTTTTCCTATATATTCCTATGTAAAAGTTTGATCAACCATTTTTGTCCCCACCTTACCCCGGGGGTCATGATTTGAACAAATATGAATTTACACTACCTGAGTATGATTCCAAGTGAGTTTCATCTTTCCTGGCCCAGTGGTTCTTGAGAAGAAGATTTTTAAAGATTTTCCCTATGTATTCCTATGTAAAATTTTGATCGGCCATTTTGGCCCCACCCTATACCCCTGGGGTCGTGATTTGATCTTATGAACAAACTTGAATGTACACTACCTGAGGATTATTCCACATGAGTTTCATCTTTCCTGGTCCAGTGGTTCTTGAGAAGAAGATTTTCAAAAAAAATTCCTATATACATGTATTCCTATGTAAAATTTTGATCGGCCATTTTGGCCCCACCTTACCCCCGGGGGTCATGATTTGAACAAACTTTAATGTACACTACCTGAGGATGATTTCGACGACGACGACGAAAACGACAGACAACGGACAAATTTTGATCAGAAAAGCTCACTTGAGCCTTTAGCTCAGGTGAGCTAAAAATATTGCAAGAACCACAATCACATTTTGTCATGTCATGCTAATAAGCATTGGTATCTTAAGCTGGATTCAAGAAAATCTTATTTCTCTAAAACTTTATAATTTTTTTCCAACTTTATTATTTTTTTCCTTTTATAAAGTACAAATTTCAACTTTTATAAGACCTTTTCTAAGACTTTCAAAAACCTTGAATCTTATAAAGTTGAATAAAATGAAAATTGTTGCATGAAAAAAAAATCCTTTTCAAGCTTCATTTTGATGCATTTCAAATTAATCATTAACTTTTGGAGTTATCCTTCCTTGCAGAAGATCGGATATCCTTAAGCTGTAAATAAAAGATCAATAAACCTCATGATCTCATTTACCTTGAGAGAAAACTGATATTTCCCGTCCACAACCGTAAAGTCTTGGTATGTTGAGTTAAAAATGAACATGTCCTCTTCTTCCCCAAAATTTAAACCATCATTACTGACTGATATTCTATATCCAGTAATAAACGGTGGCTCTTGGACCGATTGTTTAACTTTGGCCGTACTACTACTAATAGGACAGAACATTGTCATTAAAGTGCTAGGATCTCCTTTTCGGTCTACAGACTGGTTTTCTATTTGCAATGACCCGATAAGACTAATCTGAAATACACAAAAGATATTGTTTTTGGCGGTTTATAAAAATATATGTGAAGAGCAGCTTTCATATAAAAAAGTAAATACTTGAAATTTCTTGATTCTGCAGTTTGGACGTCCTTCACTGGTAAACCCGTCCCCTTCAATATATGCTTCCGTGCATGGTACCAAACTTTGGTCACACAATCCGCTGTCAATCATACCATAAATGATCGGTGGAATGGATAAGTCTATTCCACAATCACCTCCGCCATAACCGTCGTCACAAATACAACTTCCTATTGACACCATGAATTGTTTTCAAGCAAATTTCACATTTTTAAATAGGCAAGTCACTTTGGAATATTAAATATTTCCAATATATTTTTAGGAGAATCAATTATGAATTTTTAATATATAAATACTTTGATGACGTTAATTATAATGACTTACATTAATTTTGGAACAGCAAAGAAATTTATATCATTTGACCTAATGACGTTTCTTTATTGCTACGTTCAGAAATAATCGTAATTTTCATGTTGTACTTTATATCATCATGATCATATAAACTTGCAATATAAATCTGAACTGAAAATAAGAAGAAAAAGTCTTTGATATATATATTTTTACTGTTTGTCGCACTATCGTACAACAAAGGAAATACATTGGATTGAAAGCAGATTCCCGATATTGTGCTGGGGATTATTAGGCCAATGAATAAATCGCCTATCCTTTTTTATCATATATATTATATAAATGTACATGTATATGCAAACAATTGTGGTTGTAAATTTTACAGATTAAAGTGAAAATTTTACAGATTAAAGTATAACAAGAGGCCCATGGGCCACATTGCTCACTGAGAAACTTTGACAATTCCGTTCTTTACCAGATTTCCCCCTTGTGACCCCACCCTACCCCCCTGATCAAAATGTAGACAATTTAAAATCTACACTACCATAGGATGCTCTGATTCCCCATTGTAAAACTTTGATTCCCCATTGCGGTCCCGCCCTACCCCTAGAGGTCATTAGAAGAACAATTTAGAATCTACACTACCCCAGGATGTTCCACATAAGTTTCAGCTTTTCTGGTCCAGTGGTTTTTGAGAAGAAGCTTTTTAAAGATTTTTCCTTTATAATTCTATATTAAACTTTGATTCCCCATAGTGGCCCCGCCCAACCCCATGGGTCATAATTTGAACAATTTAGAATCTACACTACACTAGGATGCTTCCACATAAGTTTCAGCTTTTCTGGCCAAATGGTTCTTGAGAAGATTTTTAAAGTTTTTCCAATATTTTTCTATATAAAACTCTGATTCCGTATTGTGGCCCCGCCCTACCCCTGGGGTAATGATTTGAATAACTTAGAATCTACACTTCTCCAGGATGCTTCCACATAAGTTTCAGCTTTTCTGACCCAGTGGTTCTGAGAAGAAGATTTTTAAAGATTTGTCCTACATTTATATATTTCTTTGAACATTTTCAAAGATTTTCCAATATAATTTCTATGTAAAACTTTGATTCCCCATTGTGGCCCTGCCTTACCCTCGGGGCCATGATTTAAACAATTTAGAATTTAAACTTCCCCAGGCTGCTTCCACATAAGCTTCAGGTTTTCTGGAGAAGTGCTTCTTGAGAAGAGGAATTTTAATGACCCAATCCTATTTTCGTCTTTTCTTGATTATCTCCCCTTGTGAGGGGACTTGGTATTTTATTTTGACGATTTTAATTTTCCTTTACTCAAGAATGCTTTGTACCGAGTTTGGTCAAAATTGGTCCAGTGCTTCTTGAGAAGAAGTCGAAAATGTGAAAAGTTTACAGACGGACAGCTAAACAGACAGACAGACGGATGGACGGACGACGGAGAAAATGTGATCTAAAAAGCTCACTTCGGTTCAGGTGAGCTTAAAATTACACTTTAAAGTTTAAAAAAGTAAAAATTACACTTTAAAGTGAAAAAATTACAGATTTAAGTGTGATTTTACAGATTAAAGTGTATATTTTACAGATTAAAGTGTAAATTTTACAGGCAAAAGTGTAGAAATAAAGAAAAATAAAGTGTCCAAGTGGCACTTATACGCTTCTGTAACTATGCCTGCATCTTAGAACATAAATTTAACAAAAATAATATGAAGCAATTCTATAAAAATACCATTCTCACAACGTCCCCTTTCAAGACAATCATTAATGCAGCTGGCATTTTTTACTATTTCAGCGATGGAAGCTCCTCCACTTTCGGTTTCATTTTGCAGTGTCGCGTTTACTCTAACTTCCGCTAAGCATTTACCCTTGATGCCCTCTCTTGCATTTATCATCCACTGAGTAGAGTTTGTAAGCTTTAAATACAAAAGAATTTGCATTTAAAATGAAAAGTAAATGATTGTCTAAAGCAAGGAAAATATGGATGAGAAAATTAGCTGATAAGTATAGTTTTTTTTAAAGTAAATATACATAATCTGGAATTGTATTTTGATCACTAGAAAAATATGACTTTAACCAAAAATAAATTATCAAAAGAGCAAGAGCCATCTTATGCATAAAATGGCCCTGTACTTATATCAATTAATTAACTATCACCCTCTTTCCCATGTCATATTTCAAAATGAAGTAGACACTTGGTGCTTTCATATTCTGTTATAAAATATCGTTTTGAGAATACAGATATTAGAAAAAAAAACAGGTTGGAGAAATTGCAATGTTCTTGAAATTTGCAGAAAACATACGTATTTGACTACCTTCAGCAAAGAATTACAAATGTAAAATATGAGCACAGCCCATGATCTAAAAAATAAACTTGCTTTATTATCTTCAGAAACAGAGCATTATGTATTTTTATATTTTGGATCAGAGGTTATGCTCTATAAGAAATATTGAAAACAAGAGGCCCAACTTTCCAGCGATTGTATTTGGTTCGTGTTTTAATCCAAAAGCCATGAAATTCACAAAATTTTGAAGGAGGCACCATTGCTTATCAAAGGGCAGATTTCAAAGCATTAATTTATTTTTAGTCAAAGTACCCCCCTGGTACCCCTGACCCAGCGGCCCTGAAATTATCTATTTTGAAAGAGACCCCTTTCTTCATTATATGGACAGCATTTTTTTATGTTCAGGTTTAGTTATGAACATGAGAATAAAAAAGTCCCGAAGGAGAAGGAAATAAAAAAAAAAATTGATAAATCAATTATGAACATTTGTACATTCTTTTTTATGCTATTCTAAAAGGCTCCTTACCACTGGACACATAATGCTTACAAAAAGGAAAGTAGAACATTTAATTGCTTATTTCATCATCTGCCAGTTTGGGCCAGTTATATAAATTTTGTGATGTTGGTCAAAATATATTTTTAAAAATCTATTCTTTAAAAGTCTTTCAATACATCTTCATTTTTTAAATATGTGTTAAGTGAATGTGTAGACATTGTTCTAAAATTTACTTGATGCCTAAAATTATAATTCCTATCATAAAACAGACAGGGAGTATTGGGAAGTAGGGTGAACATTTTTTCAATTAAGTGTAAAATAATTTTTCGGGCTGATACAAATGATACTACATGCCTGTATATGTATATTCTTGCCGCCTTTTAATAGTTGAATTTTTTTTTTATTTCTTCAGGTTATTGCTTATTTCTTCCTCAAATGGACTTAACTTCTCCCATAGTTTTACTCATTACATCTGATGCATTAGCAACCCGTTTCTGAAGAATGATGCTTAGACTGTAAGCTATAACAGAGACCTAAACTGTAACAATGTCGCTGGCAATATGCAAGAGCTACCACGGGCAGTTTAAAACCTGGGGGAGGAAAATAATTTACAGACAGATACTTTTGAAACGAATACATAATTATCTCACCAGCATGTCATTGTGCAGCAAAGTCGTCAAACGGGTGAAACGTTTTGAATGGCACTCGTATCGATGAATTTTACACTAAACCAAGCTATCTTCTCAGATCTAGCTTTATTTACCCGCTGTTTCATGTCTGTTTCATCTTAAAACCGGAAGTGCGAGTTCGTTAATTTGAAATCTCGATCCCGACTCATATTTGACATCGGAAAGAATTTTTTTAAAAAAATTTTTCCTGAAAATTCAAAACCTTGAGTGGAGTTTCTTAAAACTGAAAATAAAATAAATCCTGGCCTTAAATATGTAATTAGATCATTAGTATATTAACCAGGAACAAAGGATAAGATATTCAAAGAATTCATGCATTTCACTATATAATCATTAGAGCACCACCCTAAAACAAGAACCCCTGACCCTGGGGCCATAAAATTAACAATTTTGGTAGAGGCACTCTTGCTCATCATAACTATGTACTTAGTTAGTTTATTAAATACCCAGGAGCAGAGAAGAAGATTTTCAAAGAATTCATGTATTTTCACTATATAATGAATAGAGCCCCGCCCTAACACCAGAACTCTGACCCTGGGGCCATAAAATTAATAAATTTGGTAGAGGCACTCTTGTTCATCATAACTATGTACTTAGTTGGTTTATTTAATACCCAGGAGCAGAGAAGAAGATTTTCAAAGAAATAATGCATTTTCACTACATGTAACTACTTATTTAGCCCCACCCTAGCACTAGAACCCCTGACCCCAGGGCCATGAATTTCACAATTTTTGTAGAAGACTCTTTGCTGATTATAATCATGCAAACAGTTTGACTGCTTGATGTCCAGGAGTAAAGAAGAAGATTTTTAAAGATTGCATTAATTTTAGTGGTTTTGGCCCCACCCCTCAGGCCCCAGGGGGGCAGGGATCATGAAATTCACAATTTTTGTTCCCCTTTACTCATAGATGCTTTGTGCCAAATTTGGTTGAAATTGGTTCAGTGGTTGCAGAGAAGAAGCTGAAAATGCTCAAATGTTAAGGCACGACGGACGACGGACGATGGACGACGCACGACGACGGACGAAAACTGATAGCAATAGGTCACCTGAGTTTACTCAGGTGACCTAAAAATGCTTCAACTTTAAGTCATTTTCAAAGGAATGTACAGGATATGAGGAAAATGACGCATTTTATGACGTCATAATGCATTGACTAGATGAAAAATTACGTCACCATTAGTAGATACGTGGTCACCAACACCCCAAGTGATAAAAACTGTATTTGCAACCTAAACTGAGCGGTTTTGATTTTTCAGAAATTCTCAGGGCCAAATAAGACGTAAAGTGGCTCCTGCTCTTTAGAAATGTTTCTCCAATATACAGAGTATTAAAAATTTGAGGAAGACTTACCAAGATATCTAGAACACAAGTGTTAATCGCTATGGTAGGGTCAACGTTTGGAACATCTTTGCACAATTTGAAAGATGCTGATTTATCCATAAACAATCTGCATTGTTCAATTGCCTCAGCTTCAGTCCATGCTACTGATTTATCAAGTTCCTGTGACTGAAAAATACAAAGCATCAATAGGTCTAGTATGCTCCTGTTATTTTGTCTCTAATTTTATTAAGATATAAAATATATAAGAAGTGAACTTTGAATAGGAAAACTAGATTTATAGAATTAATTAGGGAATAACTATCTTCTAATTTGGTATTTGAGACCGTTAATGCTGATTTAACGATCGCAAACTGAGTTTTACCGGTGGTGCGTCAGTGGAGCCGGTAAAACGAATGTTTGCGACCGTTAAATCAGCATTAACGGTCGCAAAAACCAAATTAGAAGATTAGTTATTCCCAATCTAATGCAATCCATGCATTTTGTTTGTTGTTTACGTCTTATTTTGTTGCGTTTCATTACATAAAATACGTCACGGAGCATTGTGTTTTTGCGTCGCTCTATTATGACGTCATAATGAAAAGTTTTCATTTACGTTAATGCTCATTTTACTGCTTCAAACATCAGCGCATTAGCCAATTAAAACGTGTTTTACAAAACAATTGCATTAGAATATTTTTCTAATTTGTGGAAATGGCAGTGTTTTAAAATTAGTTGTGATAGTGTTGAAGAGTCGATTATTCATTAATAAGAAATTTAAAGCTTTCAAACTATTTACAAAAATTATTGCTTTGATTTTAAGTCAAAAAGAGAAACAAAAACAAAATTATTCCATTATTTTATTTCCAATTCTATTTTATGAAAAGGATATATTTCAAATTTAAAGAAATTTAAGTTCTACTTGTAATTGCATCTAATTAATTGTTTTAATATTTTCAAGGAATACTTTGCATAAAATATAAAAACGTTGTGAACCTGCATTTCCTCTTAATATATTTAAATTATGTCTTTCAAGCATTAATTAAACTCTCCTATCCTATTTCAGTTTTTAAAAAATGCTATCAATGTTACTTTGTTGAATTTTTAAAACGAAAAAAAAAAACGGAAATAAATACTGTAATATACGGAGATCTTTTTGATCTTGATCTTCGTATGATGGGAGCTGACCACGTCTTTTTTAAAAATGAGCTGCATGTCTGAGGAGTTTTCACTTCCTCTTCTCTGTTGCAAGTAACAATTGAACTTGACGAACAATCTATGTACTCATCGCCGTCAACATTGTTAGTGTCTTTTCGACAAATACATAATTGCTTGTTGGCTCCCCAGTGATTTCCATCAAAAGTAGGCTCCTCCTTGAAAAGATTATTTCCTTCATCGACTCTGAAGGAAACAAACACAGCAAACGAGAAAAGGGACATGTAAGAACCAAACGATAAATTCATTTATATATAAATTGTTCAATTCATCTAGCCTGATGTTTATTTATTAAATGAAAAAAGTTCATAGTTTTAAAATCATTATAAAATTCTTCTCTACCTCCATGAAAAAGAAAATTCATCCGGCTGAAAGCTATAATCTGTCAATCCAAGTGTGTTACATTCTCTTGCTGTATCTCCGTTTGTAAAATGTGTTCCATCCGATTTGAGGAAGTCGTCTTTACAATCATTAGTGAGGGTACCACATAATCCCTTTGTTTTACCAACATCACGGAGGGATGGGAATATTTGGACCGTCATAAACGTCCCTCCGTAAAGTAAAGCAACTATACGTGTGCCTAGTGGTGTGTACATCTACGAAAATAAGAATAAAAAAACAAATTTTGAAACTACAACTAATATCAACTACATATATTAAGTGTGTCCTCGTTTACAGCGTACTTTCTAAAGGGTGTTCAGAAAGTTCAGTCCACATTTTTTTTTTATTTTCGAAAAGAAATACGATGAGAATATATTTACAATTTTTGATATTTCATGTTTACAGAATCCATTTTTGCCTCTGATGAGGTTTTAATTGTCTTTTGTTGAATTAATAAGAATAGGGCAGGTATTAAAATAGATTATGTCTGTGCAGAATAATTAGGAATGACGCATATTTTTGACATTTATTGAACACACAGGTCAAAGTATCCTTTCAAATACTTTGCAAAAATTATCAAGTCGCTGAAAAATTTCTAAATGTCAAACCTATTCATTTGAAAAGTGATCTATCATCCTTATACCTACGCTCATCAGGTTGTCTTATGCAAGAGAAGCTATGAGGAAACAAAAGTAAATTATTCTTTATTTTCACTCCAAATGACCAGCATATCTATCGTTCGAGTGCTTTAAACATGTTATATATATATATATATATATATATATATATATATATATATATATATATATATATATATATATATATATATATATATATATATTCCATATGGAAGAAAAATAATATAACTTCGTGTCCTAAATTAATTGCTATAAATCTAAAGAATAGTCTTGTGATTTTGTCATACTTGCAAGTGCATCAACTGATTTAAGCATAATACTTTGAAATTTTTGAAAATATTTCATCATTGAACGAAATTTCTTGACACCCTTTATATTAGCAGATTTCGTAAATGATTGAGACAAAAATGTCAAATGTCAAAAAATGTCTTGATATTAAATACATAAAGCCAGTTGCCTTAATACCGACGCCAGCATTTTTTTTAATGTTAACGAACACCAGAATAAAAATGTACCGTAGTAGGAGGAAATTATTTTTTTGTTGATATATTAACGACTTTTGTTAATTCATTTTTCCTTCCTTTGATGCCTTCTGTTGCCACACAATGGTTTTAAATTAGAAGGCTGAACGTTTAATTGTTTTTTTCATTGTTTGCCATGTGTGCCGAGTTATAAAAATTATAAGATGTTGGTCAAAATATAAATAATTTAATTCTGGTTGTAACGCTGTATTTGACTGGATAATTTTTTTTAATATCGTACATGTATAAAATGGGTTGCCCATGTCACAATGACTTTCGTCTAAAACGTATCAATCCGCCTGACGTTACGTTCAAATTATGTACAAATTGAAGTCATTTGTTAGAACAATAATCTTTTTTTCTTACACCAAATGAAAGAAAATTAAATCATAAGCAATGAATTTAATAGCTACCCTTTTTATACGGTATAAACTGGGTAGGAACAGTTTACGCTTTTTATAATTTATAAACCGCTTCGCTGTTTATAAAGAGTGAACTGCCCCATACAGTTGATACAGTATAAAATGGGTAACTATTAAATTCATTCCTTAAATAAAAGAAAATAATTTTATTAACTCTTTTAAAATATCTTCATTTTTTGAAATTATATACAACATTTGAATGTATAGAAATTGTTCAATATATATATATATATATATATATATATATATATATATATATATATATATATATATATATATATATATATATATATATATATATATATTGAACATTTCTATACATTCAAATGTATATAATTTCAAAAAATTTTTCAAAATATTTTTTCATTGGATATATTTTACTGTACCAAAACACTGGATTTTTCTTAAATTATATATATACATATATATATATATATATATATATATATATATATATATATATATATATATATATATATATATATATATATATACATGTATATAGTCTCGCTCTCGATTTAAAGCTTTAGGCCTTTCATTCTATCTTCAGATGCTTTACAAAAAATATATTATTATATATAAGACCTAAGAAAATATTTTATCATATTACATACAGGAAGAATTCGTAAGGGGGTCAACATTTTTCAAGTGTAACAATTTTTTAAAATTTTATCCACAAGTCATTATGCAACAAAGTCGTCAGCATTTTATATGTCCTCTTATATTAAAGTTTTTAATGAACTCTAATCGAAAACATTTGCACTAGTATAAAAAAAGCTATGATGTTGCTATGGACTATACAGGTCTACTTTTCAAAGTAACTTTATCTACCTGCCAATTTATCTAAAATCGCAAATACGAGTTTGTAAATAAAAATCTCAATCCCGAGTCAAATTAGACATCGGGAAGAAAAAAAAAATCATTTTTCTCAATTTTATTATACTTTATACTAAAATTGAAAACTTTAGCGGCAGCTTTGTAAACATTAAAAAATAATGCTAGCCCAAATGTTGTATAGAACTTTGAAAAATATTAAATCATGAAATTCGTTGTTACACTTACAACGTATTTTAAATTTGTTTCCTTGTGAACACTAAGCTGCCCATCAAGACATGAAGTATACTTAATTTTTTTGGTATATGTTGTCCCACATCTGTCAATAACAAAAACGTCACCACCAACTCGTACGGCAACACCACAAGTGCAAAAAACAGTGCCGCCTCCACAAGACTCTTGCCTGACTTGCACCTGTAATAAATACTTTTTAAAACAACGATAGAAAAACCATTCAATGAATCTATTTATAACTCTTTTTTCTTGATATATCTCAAAGATATATACAAACATAAAATTAAATGATATCTTCAGGGTCACTATGCAAATTCTACTAAGATGAATATTTTTAGCTCACCTGAGCCGAAGGCTCAAGCTTTTCTGATCAAAATTTGTCCGTCGTCTGTCGTCGTCGTTGTCGTCGGCGTAAACTTTTCACATTTTCATCTTCTTCTCAAGAACCACTGGGCCAATTTCAACCTAACTTGCCACAAAGTATCCTTAGGTGAAAGGGATTCAAGTTTGTTCAAATGAAGGGCCACGCTCTTTTCCAAGGGGAGATAATTATGAATTAGTGAATAATTAATGGCATTTTTCAAAAATCTTCTTCTCAGGAACTAATGGGCCAGGAAAGATGAAACTCATGTGGAATCATTCAAAGGTAGAGTAGATTCAAGTTTGTTCAAATCATGACCCCAGGGGCTAGGGTGGGGCTAAAATGGCCGACCAAAGTTTTACATAGGAATATATAGGAAAAATCTTTTAAAATCTTCTTCTCAAGAACCACTGGGCCAGGAAAGATGAAACTCATGTGGAGTCATCCTCAGGTAGTGTAGATTCACGTTTGTTCAAATCATGACCCCCGGGGCAAGTATGGGGCCAAAATGGCCGATTAAAGTTTTACATAGGAATATATAGGAAAAATCTTTAAAAATCTTCTTCTCAAGAACCATTGAGACAGGAAAGATGAAACTCGTGTAAAATTATCCTCAGATTGTGTAGATTCAAGTTTGTTCAAATCATGACCCCTGGGGCTAGGGTTGGGTTAAAATGGCCGACCCAAGTTTTACATAGGAATATATAGGAGAACTCTTTATAAATCTTCTTCTCAAGAACCACTGGGCCAGGAAAGATGAAAGTCGTGTGGAATCATCCTCAAGGTAATGTAGATTCAAATTTGTTCAAATCATGACCCCCCAGGGCTAGGGTGGGGCCAAAATGGCCGATCAAAGTTTTACATAGGAATATATGGAAACTCTTTAAAAATCTTCTCAAGGACCATTGAGACAGGAAAGATGAAACTCATGTAAAATTATCCTCAGGTAGTGAAGATTCAAGTTTGTTCAAATTATGACCCCCGGGACCAGGGTGGGGCCAAAATGGCCGACCCAAATTTTACATATATATAGGGAAACCTTTTTAAATCTTCTTTTCAAGTCTTCAAAGCCATGATTAGTGATATTTATATGGAATCAACCTCAGGTAGTGTAGATTCTAGTTTGTTCAAATCATGAACCCCCGGGGGTTAAATTCAAGCCCCCCCACCCTTCAGTAAACTTTTAGTTCTGATCTGATATGTGCTTTTTCCTAGCCGATGTGCTCAGGTGAGCGCTGTGGCCCCTGGGCCTCTTGTTTTAAAAATATAATTATTTCGGATGACTTATATCCCACCTCGATTGCTTCTGTCATATGCCTGTACATTGTGAAAACCCCGGCAGCGTGAAAATCAAATGGACTTAAAGAAAAAATATTTCGAATAAACATAAATTAAAGATTTGAAAGTATGAATAGAAAATTCAATTCTTTTAACACTTTTAGATTTAAAAAAAAAATGAAGAAAAAATATGAAAAAAAAAGTTTGAAGGATACCGTTTGTCAAACGTCAAATAATGAGGATCGTCTTGTGCCTGGCAATATTTTGTAGACCAGTGGGTCTCGGCAGCCTCTTCAATTTGCACCTAATAAAATGAAAAACAAAAATGTACAGTTACGAGTACGTCCCTTTTTTCATCACAAAAATGTCTCAATTACAAGTCTTACAATGATGTCTTGTAATCTGTAATCTTCCCATATACGGTGATGTCCATGTTTATCAGTTATTAGTTCTACTGTGTATGTGGCAGAATATAAGTGGAACTCCTCCTCCCGAGCCGAAATAATTATACTATGGTTTTTACTCCAGTCATATGCCGGAATTTCTTTAGAACACCTTTCCTGATCAACAATATCATTATCCACCCCTACATTAGCTGAACATTTGTTTGTGTCAAAGTTAACCATCCGGACGCTCAATTTGCAATAATCAACATTTCCATTCGAGTGAAGACAACCTATTCCAACCGTTGGTCTTAATCGTATTTCCCCAGTTCCTCCTCTTTTGAATTTAACAATAGGAGTAAGCACCTACAATAATCAATACAATGTACTTTTTTAAATAGATTAGCAATGCTTTTGGTCTATTGATTTAATGTTTTGGTATGAAATCCAATGAAAAAATAATAAATGAATTTAAACAAGAGGTCAATCGACAACAACGCTCACCTGAGTTTCTTTGACTATGCTGTTCTTTACCAGCCACTCTCAGTTGCTACGTTTACCTATTATAGCGTACATGTAACCCTATCCCCGAAAAGGTATTGGTATGAACAATTTTTATCACCCCAAAATGCATTAAGTTACAAATAAGTTTCATGCAAAGTGGTTCTTGAAATGAAATTTTTAAAAGCTTTTTTTTCATATATATTTTAATAAATGTAAAACTGGTAAATCCCCATTATGGCCCAGCCCTATCCCCTGGGGTCTTGCTTTAAATAATTATAAATCTTCACTGCCCAATGACTGATTGCTTGAATGTGGTTTAACGTACAACTCGAGTCGAAATATTTCACTCATATGAGAATGCCATCACTTGCCGTTGGGTACCTACAAATTATGTCCTATACTCGACACTGGGCGATTGAACAATGAAGGATCTTTTTCGTTTCAGCACCTACTGCGTAACTTTACCTTGCGGTCTTATCTGAAGGACAAGTTGACAGGTCCCACAGTGGGATTCGAAACTAGGAGGTAAAGATCGACTCCTTATTCCACAACTCTAGAGCAGATGCTATAATCAAGGCGCCACGCGGTTGATTATACTACCCTATTGCAAGGATGCTTCTAAATAAGTTTCAGCATTTCTGGCCCAGTGGTTCTTGAGAAGATCCTTTGAATCTTTAAATAATCTTTATGTTCAATGTCTCATTAAAATTCTACTATGCGTTTCTTTTTTTCTGAAGAGTTTAAGTATAAATTTGACTCTACAGGACGTTTGAATTTGTAAATCTACGACATGGCAAACAAGTATGCTATTGAAGACATTGTACTTTTTAAGGACATACGCAACGTACCTTACCTACTGATAATTTTCCAAGATATTCTAAATTTAAACGTATAATATCATTACATGTTCTTAGACAAAAAATCAGCATGCGTTACCAGGGGTTTTGAAAAAATATCAAATTTTGAAAATTTTCGCATTATTTAAATAAAAATGTACAAAAATTACAAAACATGAATTTCAGATATTTTTTCATCAAAAATTCTTTAAGAAGAGGTGTACAAATCCATATATATAAATGGAAAATATTGACCTTAATATGTTAAAGGTGCGACCGGTAGGGCGAGCGCAGATACCTATTCAGTTCTCATTTAGATCGGGCTCTTCAAATCGCATTCGATAAGTCTAAGACTCTGAAGTCACATAAAGTCGTATGCATGTTGTTTACCAAATCGAAGCCTGAACTGGGCTGATTTTAATGAAGAACCATTTTATTGACTATTTTTCAAAAATAAATCCATTGAATAAAGGCAAGTTTATTAATCGTTCGACTTTTGTTGTTATTCAAGCGAGAACGTTCCTTTAGCCTTTGTGCACGCGAAGTGATGCATTATTGGTCCAAAGTAACTGCGAAGGTCCAAAGTAACTGCGAAAAAAATTCTTTCGAATGAATTTGCTGTAGTCTGATTTTTCTCTTCGCGATGCTGCGCTCGCTATAAGATTTAAACTGTGGCATAGCATAGGCATCGGAAGCAAATTGAAAGGGGGTGGGTGGATGGGTGGGTGGTTGCTAAACCAACAAATGTAACATTGTGTTGCTTTTCATAAGTTAAAATTTGCCGCTCAGTAATGCAACCGTAGTAACGGGAGTGATGGGAAACGAGGGGAGGTAATAACTGATACATAGACCTAACAGTCATGATGTTTGTTTACATGAGGTAAGATCGGGCTACTGTTTGAAGTTAAAGGTACAATTATTAAACTGAAATTTTCAATGGATCCCGAGGACTTGACATGAGGGAATTGCATAGATACAGATGATTCATCTGGTTGTCAAGGGAGCGTGTCTCCATACCAAACCAGATTATACAGAATAATTTGCGTTTCCCTTTTTGAATCAAAGCATGAGAGGCTAGAATACAAAAAAATAAATTATATAGTTTTTTTTCTGACCAGGTAATTAAAAACATGGTATACTCAGGCACTACAAAATTGTAACAATTGTCCTGTGTTGCAAGATATTCTACAAAATTGATTCCTTACTGCTTAATAGTCCTTAACATAAATGCCGAGAAAGGACTATTTGTAGCAATAGTTCTCTACCAGAAAGTGGTGGCTTCTCCATTTGGGTGAAAAACTGTCCAGAAGGATGTTAAACAATCAAAAACAAACACATTCACTTTATCTTTTTGGATTAAAAATAATCTCTGTGAGTAAAATCAAGAAGTCCTTATTTTAAATACCTCTATTCCGACAAAAACTGCTTCACTTTTTCCCTCTCTTCCTGGGGGGCCCATGTCTACCGTTTTGGCTACTACAGAACAAGATACCTGTTCGAACAAAAATATTTTATCATATTTCTACATGAATGTTGTGAAAAGATAATGATTTATATTTAAATCACCTTACCATTTTTCCAAGTGTTCTTATGTTTGATTTATCAAGAATTATGTTGGAACTTTCTCTGTCACTATACGGCACTGTGTTTGTAGACAAGCCAAATTCATTGTCAAAAAGCCAAGTAACTTGGTAAAGTAAAACGCCAGCGTTCAGTTGATCATCTTGAAAATTGCACTTGGCAACCAATATTCCAGACACTCCTTGACTATTGTCTAACTCAACGGTAGCTGTCACACCTTGGGGTGTATAATTTGGCCTTGCACCTAAGGATGTACTTTTTGTAGTATCTTTTTAATTGTTTCAAAAACAAATAGAGTTTTTTAAACATAATAGGTTATATTTATTAACTCACCTGCAACGCCTTCACCTGAAATATCAACATGTGAATAAATTATTGTGGATAACAATAAAGAAGATTACAATAGTTTTGATTGAAGCAATCATCCTTCTCTTCGAAATCTATTAATGTGACACGCCAAGCAAAAACCTCCCTTATGTCTATTATGACGTAACGTCAAAAGACGCGTCTAAAGTCAATAAGGTGAATGCGACGTAAAAACGTCTCCTTGAGAGAAACTCTCCCCAGTAGAACAAGGGGATGTTGTTTTATTTATATGCTAAGACGCATTCTTGGGTGTAATTTGATGTAGTTTATTCCTTTAAAACTTAGTCTGCGTCAAGTGTCTGTGTGATCTTTTCACAATTAAGTGTGCATGTATTTTTTAAAGATTTCCAGTGGTGGCTGAAAAATTCCCGTAAGGCCGTTTTTAAAATGAAGTTTGTTTGCCCTCTCCCTATTCGGGTTAAAGAATTACATCGGTAGGTAGGTCGAATTTTTTTATGTCGGAAATTTTCAGTGTTGAAAAAGATTGAAGGCATTTCTGAAATAAAAAAAAAGTTGTTGATAGGATGAGAAAATTCCGGAATGAATAATTTGGAAGTTTTAAAAATATTTTAGTCGGTTCATTTTAAAAGGTCAAACAAACAAGTTTTTAAAGATAGTTTTTTAAATTTAATGTCCAGCTGTTTCATCGTGATGCACATGCAATTTTACAGGAGCATTAAACTAAGGTATTTTTATTTAAATAGCGATCCAATGAAAATTGACCTGATTTACTTCTCTTTTACTTATGGAATGAATTTAACAGCTACCCAATTTATACGGTATAAACTGGGTTGGGACAGTTAACGCTACCGTTTATATTTCAAAGAAAACGTGAACTGTTATTGATAAATAGTTAAGTTTAGTTTTTTTAAAAAGTATTCTCTATAGATACGACACAGAGTATTTTATTTGGACACTTCTTCCGGAATTAGTTTTAGTTGTCGATTTAAAATGAATATTTTGAAGAAAGACCTTTTGAGCTTCTCAATCTATTTTATTGTTGAACACCTTCTCATGTTGTAGAAAAAATGTAGAAAAAATTCGCCCCCCTTTCTCCTGTGTCGCGTGTCTGCTCTATTTCTTTGGATCCTTCGTGCAAATTTCGTCTTGAATTTACGGATGCTCGCATACATTGTAAGTTACAGTCCCACTATTTAAATTATTTCATGATTGAGAATTAAACAGATTGAACATCTGTTTATCGTTTATCGACCTTTTCCTAATCTGTTCGATGAGGTTATTCTCAATACACCGAATTGTGAAAATGGCAAACATGATACATCGCTAAAATTTTATAATTAATACAAATTGTTACAAATTCATACAATTTGTCTGAACACTTTTAAAACATTCCAACCTATTATTATTTTGTGCATTCTTTATCTACATGTACTAACGAAGATTCTGGAGTTCTGGATTCCTGAAAACAACCATAATTTCGGTCAATTATAAAATTGCTGAATCAGGCTGTTTCATGTACATATATGTAGTAACGTCTCCGGTGCTCATTCAGCCCTCTTAGCTTAAAACATCAATGCAGTATGAAAGTATACATTAAACGTTTTAGAGGTTAAAGACTTTCTTTCTTTTAATGATTTTATTTTAACCTTCAGTATTAAGGATTATTTAACCTT